AGCAAGGATGATGTCTGTTTTGCTTCAAGATAAAAATCCCATCCTCTTTAGTCTAAAAAATGTGTCTACCCTCTTGAGTGGGTCCCTGATATTTCCCAGAATGTATGAAGCCGGGATCCCAAAGGTGTTTCTTTCCCCAAGGCAGCTGGACTTTCTTGGTGTTTTCTTTGAAACTGTTTTGCTTCTCATCCAAGAAGCTTCTTCAGTTCCTGAAGCAAAAGATTTTCAAAGAAAACACCAAGAAAGTCCAGCTGCCTTTTGAAAAAAGAAAAAAAAAGAAAAACATCTCTGGAACAACCATGACCTGGATGAATCTCCATAGATATATATGTAAATCCAGGGGTTATTTTTGTACTCCACCCTCACCTTGTAAAGTTCTTCTTCTTTCAGTCGATCTTCAAGGATTTGTTTTTGAACAGTTGGACATATGGGATCTTTACCTAAATGAACTTGCCTACGTTTGAAATTCAAAAGAAAAGGAGTTTTAGTGTAAAAAAAATAAATCAGCACTCCTGATCAACAATTCTTCCATCTGAAGAAAAATAAACCTTATATAAAAACAGCTTCTGTAGATTACCTGCCCACTGACCAGCTACTGTCACTTCACTAAACACACACACACAACTGTGTTGATGCACATGACTGACAGTGAGGCGACAGACTGGATAACGATATGCTAGAGTTGAACATTTTAGAAATCCACTTATTTTAATCAATAAAATGAGCACATGCTTAAATTTGTCTTTCTGAAGTCACATGATTTTAAAATGCTTACCTTGGCTGACTTATGCTCCATAGGATTTTCACAAATTTAGAACTGAGGGACTTGTAATTAATAATGAACGAGCCAGGTCAAAGATCATAATGGCCAATTCATACACATGTATAACCATGGCTTGTTTCAACTCTGGTTGTTAAACATATCACAATGGCTGGATTCACAGAGCACACTAAACCACAAATCACGGTTTGTAAGTCGAAATTAGGTTAACATATTATACTTTGCTTGGGTTTGTTTTTACATTTTTTAATGTCTTAGAGCGGGGGTGTCAAACTAGTGGCCCACGGGCCGGATGTGTCACGCCTACCCCAGCCCCGCCATCCATCAAGGCAAAAAACATTGCAATACGTCATGGTATGTCACATGACGCGATCGAGTCTGACACCCGTGTCTTAGAGCATTGTGTTAATCTAGTCAATAGATTGTACTCATTGGTGGCTTTGCAGCAATGCTTCTGTTCAGGTTAAGGCAATTAATCAATCAGCAATACACCTGATTATTTATTATTCTCTCTTACTACTTCTGCTTTTTCACATTATTCTAAAACCTCTAACAAGCCTCTTTATCATCCTTGGATGTTTATGTTACTACGCCTAGAGTTATTACAAAGCCAACATTAGACAGATTTAAAAATGTTTTTTTTGTTGGTATTTGCTTCTCACCTGCAATGAAACAACTAACCACAATTTTTAATTTTTAGTACATGTAATAACTGTAATCAGTTACAAACAGAGAAACGATAATAATGTAACTTTTATTACAAAACCTCCTTTATTAATATGCTAAGTGGCAGAATGATTTGATTGGAAGAGTTATTTTAACTTCCTGCATTTGGTATAAAGTGTGCCATCACTCACCACTTAAGTTGATTAATTTCTTCTTCTTGTACATCCTGTTTGACTTTCAGCTGAAAAACAGCTTCTTTTATCTGTCGTGTTTTAGTCCCTCCATCACCTTGTCCTCCTAGAACTGTATAACACAGAAATTAAAAACTGTTAATCAGGATATTAAAAGGGCAATGAATTATTTGCTTCATGGTAGCTTTAAGCATATTTCCCATTATTAAATGCCTGAAAGAAGCAAAATTATTGAGAAGTTGCAAGATTTCAAAATTCTGCACTGATATCAGGAACATCCTACGATATTTAATTTAATTATTATTAAATAGATTTTATATTACTTTCTATGCAATGCCATCCTACATATACTCTGTACAATAAATGCTAATTTATTATATATATATAATTTGTGGACTCTTTGGTAAAATAAATTCAAACTATATATAAAAGGGCAGGATAAAATCGAATATTAAGTATATAAGAACATACATCAGCATTGACAAAATTACCACCAGTCAATTGCAAAAGGCAGCTTTACTGGAATAGCTTCCATCCTATGCTGAGACCTTTAACACCATCAAACAACATCTGCCTAACTATCCTTGAGGAGGACTTGATCGGTGGATAAAAATGCCAAATCGAGTCTAAATATTTGGCTGATTATGCGACCAAACAATAATAATAAAAGTTATTACCTTCTCTTAAATGTTTAATCTTCAATTTTCCTGGTTCTTGAATCAAAACTGTTCCCACAGCGTAAGGATTTGACAAATCAACAGGGAACCTCAAGTTTTTATATTCAATAGTCTACGAAAATAAATAGGTTATGTCAAAATGACTGATGGATGTTATTTCCTTCCTATATAGCAATAATTAAGTTTTGTCCATTCTGTACCTGTCCTTTTTGTAGCGGCCTGGATTTTTTTTCTTTTGGTGATATTGTTTTCTGTGGCAGGCAAAACACGGCTTTTTCAGAAGACTTTGGTATTCTATGCAAAAGTGACTCTTGGTCCTCAAAGTCTCCCCTTCTGGAATTGAGAAAAAAAAGTACAGTAATTTTAGGGGGGGAAAACACACATTTGCTTTATTATTTGGGTAATAAAATATTGCTGTAGAAAGGTAGAACTCTACCAAAGAGAGGGTCCCTTGAAAAAATTACATAGCCGTGGCACACGTGGAACTCAGATCAAATTATGCAGCACAAACAGAGATTGGAAACATTTTCTTTTTCACCATATACATTAAGCCAGTTCCTGCTTTTGAGGAAAAAGAAAGGGATGTGCTAGAGCAGCTATGGCCCCTTTATGACTTGTGGACTTCCACTCCCAGAATTCCTAAGCCAGCATGGTTGGCCCAGGAATTCTGGGAGTTGAAGTTCACAAGTCATAAAAGGGGTATAATTTCCCACCCGTGCTAGAGCATAACACCAGTAGAATTGGGAAATAATGGAATGTGATGGCGATAACCAAGGGGAGTCCAAAACTGTTATCCAATTCAGATTTTCATTTGGACTGGAGAAAAATCTTGTAGCAAATGCTTCTCCCTTTGAAACACACTTTAGCGGGATTCCTGAGATCTTCTTTTGAGGCCAATTTTGGCAAATTGCTGCAATGGACTGGGATACAATTTCACTTCTCCAGACTCAATTGCAATTAAAATCTTTGCATATTATTTATTTTAGACTGGCTTGTTTTGATCATTAGTCCAAAACAGTCTATTCTTTAAATGTCTTCAGGGCAGCTTTCTCCCTGGTGCTCTGATGGCTTAGATATGATTGAATGTTTCTGGAACTATGTTCTCCTGACTGAAATAGTATGTCTTCTTTCCTCACAGACATCACCTTTGCCCTCATCACTGTAATGATCAACTGTAACCACTTGGCACTTGTCAACGCTTCCTGCAGCTAGTTTATAGATGGAGTATCAAAAAGAGGAGACCGCTGGTCTTCTACTGCTTGTCTCCATCATGTCATGCTGCATTAGCTAAAGAATGAGGGAAGGGGAAAAAAAAGCAAGCTGACCCCTCCTCAGGGAACAGTAAAGCTGCTTTTCTGTGCAGTTGGGATTGGGGAGAAGTCATAGCCTCATGGCGTCTTGGAGGAAGAGGAGAAGAGAAATCCAGGAGACAGATGAGGCTGGAGTTCCCAACAATGTGAAAACTACTTCACAAGTTTGGAGGAAGTACTATCATCACAGTGTTTCCTCTGGTGTTGGAGCTGAGTTGATTAACTTGTGTTAATCATCTTGAATTAATAAGTTTAGTTTCTGAAGACAGCTGGAATCCATAACACAGCAGGAATGTGCAATGCCAATACTGGTGAGTCCCTTGCAGATGGAAGGGGCCTATGACTGTTGAACCATTTTATAATGACTTGGTTCCATTTGTTTCTTTTTACAGATAGTCCTCAACTTACGACCACAATTGAGCCCAGAATTTATCTTGCTAAGTGAGAAATTTGTGAGTTTTGTCTCATTTTAAGACTTTTCTTGCCACATTCGTTAAGTGAATCACTGCTGTTGTTAAATTAGTAAGTGGTTGCTAAGGGAATCTGGCTTCCCCATTGACTTTGCTTGTTAGACGGATACAAAAGGTGATCACATGACTCCAGGACGCTGCAGCTGTCATAAATATGAACCAGTTGTCAAGCATTCGAATGTAAATCATGTGACCATGGGGATGCTACAACGGTCGTAAGTGTAAAAAATGGTCATAAGTCATTTTTCAATGCCGTTGTAATTTCAAACAGTCACTAAACAAACTACTGTCGGTTGAAAACTAACTGTATATTTAGGTGACTCTGTTGCCGACGTACTGCCTCATACCTTACAACTCAAATGGGAATTTCCCCCCAAATTTTCCCTCTAGCCATTATTCTCCATGGCCAATTGTTTTGTGAAATAATGTATAGTTTTGTTACTTTCCTCTAGTAGCCCAAGTGACAGGAAACATTGTTGAACAATGTTTTATTTTCACTAGTCCAGAAAGGGTAAAGAGGCAGGAGAATCCACCAACTGGAAGCCTTGGTAAACCTGATCTGATCCAACTTTTATTGAGGCAAACACCTACAGATTGCCGTGCAAAAAAAAAAAAAGAGTTTAACCAGCACTGATATTTTACACTACATCACTTTCAATGGGAGATAAATGTAATTAACTTTTTCAACAAGGTATGTTTTGGGGAGTTTGACCTACTCAGTTGATATAGTTTTTTAAACAGGAAACCCTCAGTTGGAAATATTATCTAGTAAAGATCTCTGTTAACTAATATTCAAAACATTATGAACTTCACATACGTTAAACTTAGGTGTGGGGTGGATGTTCCCGTGAACGTACAAGTGTAAGGTTTTGAGTTAAACTGTGAAATCCACAACTGGATTTTTATTTGGGCTGTCCCATATTCAAAAGGTGCAAACGTAACTATCACTTCTGATTTCCCACTGGCTGGAATTATTCCTGTAACGAACAAATCAAATGTTAGGTTATAGTTAATGCATTTAACTCTAAAAGTCTGCTATTATTTTCCTGTCTAAATACATATTCTCTCTCCCTCTCTCTCTCTCTCTCTCTCTCCCTCTCTCTCTCTGCATGTTGGTGCAGGTGCCATAAGAGAGAAATGATTTTGATCAGCTGATTGGAAAACCAAATATTGGTAGGCAAAACAACCTTCAACTACTCGGATTGCTTTCTAAAGAGAATTTAGGTGTCCCCTCTCTGCACCTTTCTACATCTCATACATTGATTGTTCCTGCTGGCCCAATGTACCAAAAGATCATTTTGGAATAAAAATAGTTTGGAACTAAATGGCTTTTGAATTCAAAAGCCTCTTTTTTCCTTGGAAATACTTGGATCAAGTTTCCCAAATAATCAATTTAGAACTAATATAATAATTTTAACAAGTTAGTTTTCACATTTCTCAACCACCCATCTCCTTTAGATCATTCTGCTGTTTTGAATTGGAGGGTAAGGTCAATTTCCCAAAAGTTAGATGCACTGCACTGAAAAGCCCAATAAAAGAACTTCTGCCTGTGTGAATCAGTGTGTTTTGAAAGTTTTGAGTACATTGCTTCCCCTTGAATTTCAGTTAAGATTGCTTTCTAAGAAGTTCGTGACATGGCTTTCCTAGTTCATCCTTTTTCAAATTCTTCCCATTGTTTTTCTTATTGTTCATTCCAATGTCTGGACACAGCGGACATTTAAAACCAACATAAAGTGTTTTGATTACAAAAGGTCAGTTTTGGTTAGCTTTATAAAGACAGGGTCTGTGAATTATTCCTATCCTACTGAGATTGGCATCCAAGGCAGGCTAAGTTTTGGGAAGATTGTCTGTATTCCGAAGATTTATGCTTGAGCAAATGTCTCCATTATCAAGACAGAGTAGGAAGGAAGTATATGCAGTACATGTAAGTTGATTTGCTTTGGGTGCATAAATTTGAACCTACGGATGGGATCACATAACGTGCTATGTCAAATTCAAACAGAACTTGGGATGACTTAATATGATGCATGAAATCATTCTGAGAGATAGATATTTAAGGTTCATTCATTCATATTACTATGTAAAATTCCAAACATTCATGCAACACAGTTTCCCTTTCAGAACTTACCTGACATGGGTTGTACAGTAAAGGCTTTGTGGGGCTGAAGGTATTCAACCTGAAACTCAAAATCTATGGGGCAGCTACACTGCAATGGGATCACATAGGGCTTACTGAAAAAGGAGAAGAGGACCAAATAGCAAATAATTATATTCAAATTTTTAACATTATCATTCCAGCAGTAGCAGGGCAGAAAATATGCTGATGTGATGGCATGAAACAGGAGAACAATTTTCAAAATAATGCCTGCCATGTGTTCAACAAAGTTAAAGCCTGCAAATTTAAATGATTTGCATCCAAATTTTATTTAAAATTATTTCATATAGTTACTGGAAAATGAATTACATGAATATGCAGCCCTAATCAAGCCACTATATTAGATAAGTCATGATTTCATATTTTATGAAAATTGGCCGTCTCGCATTAATAATTGAAAACACATATGCATTTACCTCTGTATGTACTGTATGTAATTTATTTTAGTGCGGCTGGAGCTTTTGCATTATGAATTCATATCAAAGAAAAAGCAGCTTCCTGTTTTCGTGAGTAAAAAATAGACCTCACTTGATTTTAATTTAAATATTCTTCCTTTTTAAAAATTAACAATTAAAACTTCACCACTATAATTTATTTATTTATATCTCATATTTTTATACCAACCATCTCCCTGAAATCCTGCTGGATTCAGTGAGGCTTACTTCCTTAACACCGTAGGTCTGCAATATTGCACTAGTTGTTTTGATTTAAAAACATGCAACCTCAGAGACTTTGTTCTATTTGTAAAATACAGCAAAGTCAATGAAACTGCACGTTTTTAATTCAGTAAATTTAATTCTGTAAACTAATCTGAAAAAAAAAATCACTATGGCTGTGGCTGGAAGATTTATAATTCTTCACTTCCATTAATGGGATCCTTGAAATGGAATGACAGGAATAATAAAAACAAACACCAGTCACGGAAATAACTTGCTGGAAAGTTATTTTTCTATAGCAGGAGACATTTGGAAACTAAATTTCTGTACCTAAAATGCTAGAATTGAGGAAAACTGAATCTATAACTTGCCTCTTACTTGTAATACATACTGCATATACTGAACCATATTTATAAAGGCTTGTTTAAAAGTTGCTCTAATTACGTGCATGAGTTCATTTCTTGTTTAGGGCAGCAGTTTAAATCAATAAAGAAGCTTTACTCCAAACTTCAATATGGAATATATGGGTGAAGTACTGAATCCAATTCTGTATGACCCTTTAGGCCAGTGATGGCGAACCTTTTAAAGACTGAGTGCCCAAAAACCGCCCTATCCCCCCAGCCTGCCCGCGCTCCGCCCCTGCCCCGCCCACCGGCAGGGCCACTCACCACCTCCACGGCCCGCTGCAGATCGCCCAGGTGGCCTTCCAGTGCCATGGCAACCACTCCCTCTGCCAGCATCCCACTGGTGATGGGGCGCAAGGGAGGAGTCTTATCCCTGCTGCCCAGCTGCCATGTCCTGTTGCGCTGCTCTGTGCAGGCCGTGCCTTGGAGATATTCTCCTCTGGGGGGGCTGCTGGTGAGGAGGGGGCTACGGGGGGAGGCAGGGCTGGGGCAATGGCGTGCATGCCCACAGAGAGGGCTCCGAGTGCCGCCTCTGGCACACGTGCCATAGGTTTGTCACCACTGTTCTAGGCCATGGGTGTCAAACTCGCGATGTCATCTGACATATCACGACCTACTGTGACTCTTTTTGCATTGCCAGCAATGGGGTGGGCGCAGCTTCAGTATGATGAAACTGGCCTGTGGGCCGGCAGTTTGACCCCCTTGCTCTAGGCAGACATTAGATTAGGCAATGAAGCTTCAGGGAATGGACTTCCTCCATAAAACCCAATGCTATTATAGCTAGCTTCAATTTGTACCTTCTTGAGTATCTCATAATTTTTTCCCAAGTTTACTTTTCTGTGCAGATAGCAAACCCTACTTCACTATTACTTAGAAATAAATCCGAATATTCTCTATTTAAGTATATTTCATTCCATGAACTCCAATTTAAATAAACTGTCTCACTAAAATTCTGTCTAGCCGATTACAATGGAATGTAGTTTACATGCAGTTCTTCCTTAAAATAATTATTTCTCTCTTTCTTGTTTGTGTGAATAGTAACAACAGTATCTTTCTGTTCAACCTGGAAGCATTTCTATCCTTTGTAAATAAAGGAAGCCATGGATGGACAAATAGTACAAACCAAGGAACAAAGCAGGAAGAAAAAAAAAGGAAAAAAGGATAGCATTTGTAAAAAAGGAAAACATGCTAAGATTTAGAAGTAAAAAAAAAATTCTAAGAAAGAATAATCCCCTAATCTACTCAGATGTGCTTGGAAATAATTCTCAGTTCATCTAACAAGTATATTAGACAGAGAATTTGCACATTCTCATGAATTAATGCAAGGGTATCCTGAATGCTCAGATAGGCAAGGCTGCCATAAATTTCAGACCTTGCTCCAGCAAGAGATATGTGAAATTTACAGCACAAGAGATCACAAAAAACTCTTTAAATAACTTTTTCCAATTATGTACACATCTGCTTATACAACAGGAAAGAAGTTCAATGCTTGAATACAAAATTGAAGTTGGCATCATGAATTGCAAGTAAACTGGCTCCCTTCAACAGGCAGGTATAATATTTTTAAAACTTACTACTACTACTACTACTACTACTACTACTACTACTACTACTACTACCAAGTTATTCTACTCATATAGGAGAACAGGAATGAAATGAGGGTCCTTGGTGCTCTCTGAGCTCGCTTGTTTTCTTGCAGACGTTTCATTACCCAAACTAGGTAAAATCATGACAATGTTATTACCTAGTTTGGGTAACGAAACATCTGCAAGAAAACAATCAAGCTCAGAAAGTGAGCAATTCTACTCAGTTTATACTATGAACACACTATTATCTCATAGCAGTTATCCACAGGCATATTCTTTTTGCGTATACAGTCATTTATCCCCATCAGTTTAAAGGTGTTAAGATGGGAATGCTTTATCCAGAGAAAAAGATGAAACACATCCTGTTTTCTTTTCAAAAGAGTAAGATAAGGGGAAAATAAAAAAAGAAACAAAAATACCCACCTCAATCACATTTTGTTAACAAATTTAAGACTCCAGAAAACAAAAAAAATCTTATTTAGATTTTTAGCCTCCTATTTTCATTTTCTCTCTTTACAGATGTTCTCGGAGTCATCAGTGAACACAACCAGGATCTAATAGCTACCAATAATTTTACAAAGTAATTCCAGAATTACATTTCACAGTGCCTGGTCACCAAATGAAAAATATATCAATATGGTTAGAATAAAAACAGCTTCAATTGCATTTCCCGATTGAATTAATGCTGTGGATGAGGCATTCTGTTTTTTTTCACTGCCCACCGGCCAAAGTCTAATTATGCTCATTCTTTTTATCATGCACGAAAAACAGATGAAAGAAAAGTTATTGCTTTAATAGCCACTTGCCATTGTCCCAAAGGAACATCCGACAAATTAATGTAGGATGGAAAATCTACATTATTCATCACAGGATAGGCATGGAGTGGGATCAGCAAAGTTTCATCTCCCTGAGAAGAAAAGAAGAAAAGGATATGGACAGTCTCAGGGGAACTGTGATCCTAGGGGGAAACTAGTTCTGCTCTCCTACACAGTTAAGGCTACACTGCTCACGTGGCTTAAATAATGATGGGGATATTTTAATTCCCAGCTAATATAAAATATGCAGCATATGAAAGCCTAACTTTATATATTTTCCTAGATGTAAGACCTGCGAGGACTAAAACCCATTTACCATTCCTGTTCTTGAAGTTTTGCCACCCCACATTAGCATGATCTGAATTTTTCCTCTTGCTTGCACGCACACAAGGCACACCGTGCTATTTCTTTTAGGGTAAGAAATATTATAGACTTTCTACAAGTTAAATACAATAACAGATAGTTAATGGAGAGTTTTGATGTTTAAATTTGTTGTTGGTTTACCTGTTAGCTACCTTTTCTTAGATATAGTAGAGAGATGACAGATTAAATTGGTTGCAAATAGATATGCAGAAGTTTATAAATTGTAGGCCTGCTTTGCAAGAGGCAGAAACTATTATTGCCACAATATATTTATCAGTATTCAACGGGGGGAGCTATCTCTATCTCTATCTCTCTATCTCTATCTATCTCTATCTATCTATCTCTATCTCTATCTCTCTCTATCTATCTATCTATCTATCTCTATCTCTATCTATCTCTATCTCTATCTATCTATATCTCTATCTATCTCTATCTCTATCTATCTCTATCTCTATCTTTATCTCTATCTATCTCTATCTCTATCTATCTCTACCTAATCTATCTATCGCTCTGTGTGTGTTTTGTCTTTTCTAATGCACGTTTTTTAAAAATTTTGTCTAACTTTGTTTTATTTCATAAAATTTCTTTTTTTGAAGCTTGTATTTTAACTTTCTGAATAAAAAAATTATTGTATTAAAAAAGAAGAAATATTATGCTGAGTGCAGAAAAGGTGTAAAAAACAGTAGGCCATAGTACTTGGAAACATGAGCTCTAAACAGAAAAAAATTAAATCTATTACAATTCACTATGCATCAATGTATTGCCTGGTTGGCGGGATGCAACAGTATCTTGGTTTGCAAGAAAATCTCTAAATCAGAGATCCTAACTTAGTTAGAGCAGTAGAAGAAGAAATTTGGAATAAAACTGAGCTTTGGTTGCATTTGTGATAAATTGGCCAAAATGTGGCAAAGTGATTGGTATTGTCATTACAATTACTGATCACTTTTGGCACATTTTGGCCAATGTACCACAAGTTCATCATAATTAATATGAAAGCTGCATGTACACAACTGGAATTGAAGCTGATAACCTACTTCCATCTTACAAAATGTTCATGAATGTTTTTAAATAAGCATCCCAGTTCCTAGGCAAACAATAAGAAAATGCTGGAAACCTGTTACCTACTTTATTTTAAACTGAAGTATATATTCCTGTTGAGCTTCTGTTTTTTTCCCCAAATGGGTGCATTCTCTTTTGATTGGCGTTGGAACAAAATAACTTGAGGAAAACAATGAGTAAAAGAAGCTGACTAGTAAAAGAAGCTAATCACTAAAGAGTCTAAAGAATCTTCAATCTAAGCATAGTAAAAATATTCATTGCATGTGCTGATGTCAGGAAGAGTCAGCACTATATAGATTTGCATTTACAGGAAAGGGGTGTTCCTACCTTGATCTATTGTCTTTTCTTACCTGAGAATGGATTCGGATGCAGTCATAGTAGTATCGCCATTCATCAGGGCAGAAATCAACCATTACTGTAATGGACAAGCCAGGGACAAGCCGCTGCTATAAAAACAGAGCAGAACAATTTCCTATGGAAAGCTTCAAACTATTTGTTTTGCAATTTGGCGAAGTTCAAAAAGGAAGAGACAAATGAAATGTGAGCCTTCTCAAGGTTACTGAACCGACACTTACAATTTTGTTATATTTGATCTGGAAATAGTTTGTCTCGGGCGGAATAATATGGATATTTATAACTTCTCCGGAAATATTTATCAGTTTCTGTAGGATAAAGCAAATAATTCAAAGAAAAAAAAGATGTTCCTGTCAGTATTTTAGGCACAATTACAGACGGAAGGTGATGTAGATAAAATGGTTAACCCATAGTTAACAAGGGGAACAGGAATGAAACAGAATACAGTTTGCTAACTAGCTGGGTAATGCCCCTTCTGCAGGAGCTGCATTGGTTGATTATGGCTTCTGAGGCCAATTCAAAGTCCTGAATGTAACACCTTATACAGTTTAGGATCTCATTATCTTTGGGACTTTCTTCTTCTTGTAGAATCTGTCTGCCCTACTCCATCTTGGCAGAAAGAAAATACAAAACAAGTGGGATGCTGGGATCTGGAGAATCTTATTCTCAGGAGCAGCTCCCTCCCTCTAAAATGTCCTCAAAGAATATCTCCCAAAGACAACAATAGTTTTTATGAACAGTAATTAATTTATTGCTTTTAAAATTATGTTTTATATTTGTTATTATTTTTATAAACTGTAAGTGGCTTTGAGTCATAAGGACTACACCGCATACTTATTTATATATTAAGCACATTTATATGGCCACCCATCTCACATATACGTGACCAAGGATATGTATGTGGGTAAATAATAAATAAATTAATAAATGCATGAACTAATTTGAGGCTATTAGCTCTCAACTCTTTTGTTACTTACCAGCACTTGCTGATGATGTTTTTCTACCTCAAATCCTCCATAATGCATGATGGCAGGTTTAGCCTGTATAGCATTATTTCTTAATAGCTTTGTATAAATCTCTGAAACAAAAAAAAAGAAACAATAATTGGCACAGCCAGACAATAGCCTCAGGCGTTCACTATGACTAATTTTATTCTATTTTTTCTAATATTAGATGGACTGATATAATTTACCTCAAGATCTTCCCTGCACAAAAACAGTCCATTTAGCCTACCAAATTACAAGCTACCCATTCCTCAATCTGAGAGTCTTTTTTTTTTTCCTGGCCAATATTAGGCTTCATCTTAAGGTACTAATATGTGTGGGATTCAACTGCAGATAAATAATATTGTATTATTCAATTATATTATATAGGCCAAGAGGGCCTACTTCAGATCCCATCAGATCCCAACTATTGTGATCCAGGAGCCTTCTCTGCTGCAGTACTTGTGCTTTGGGGTATCTTAAATTCTAAGATCTGCCCTCACCCTCTTATCCTTCCGCAAGAGCTTAGGGATCAAATGGGGGAGTTCTACACTGGAAGTATTGCTGGACTGATGGCAGAGTCCACCTCCCACCCTGCTCTGTTTTCCACCCGTCCATCTTTTTAGTTATCATATTGTTGTATTTTCATTGTGTTCCTTTTTCATTGTTTGTTTTCTTGTTCCATTATTTTATTTCTCTTCTCTTCCTTTCATTTTCTTCTTCTTTTATTATTGTAAGCTGACATTTCTGTCTGTCTTTGTCAGTGCTGTCTACAACTATGTATATTTACCCATGTAGTATGGCTGTAGTATTATCGTTTAGCCACCTTATTTTCTTCTTTACTACCCCCTCTTATTGGTATTATGACAATGATGGTGATTATTATTCTGTTGCTTTGCATGTACACTGAGAGCTTCTGCACCAGAGAAATATTCCTTGTGTGTCTAATCACACTTGGCTAAATAAAGTATTCAGATTCAAATTATCTTTCATGATAATGTATCTCTTGAAATAATATAAAAGGGGACTGCTAGTGCAGTGAGATTCTCTGTTCTCCACTTGCAATCCACTATGTTTCTCTCTTCTTCAACCGCTGGAAAGGATCCTCCAACCTCAGGAGTGGATTGCAAGGGAGGAAAAAAAGGGAATGCTAACAGAGACGGCAACAACTGGTGATAATCTACTGAATTATTATATTTGAAATGAATTTAGGTGCAACAAGATTCTGTCTATAAACCAAGGTGATAAACAAAATCAAGTTCGTCAAGATTATTAAGGTAACCGACAATTCTTTTTTTGTGCCTGAAAATAGTCAACTTATCCCTCACTTGATTCCAGGAGGTGGTGAGGAACATCAGTTCTTTTCTGGGGCTCCTCCACAAAGCTGTCCAGAAGAAGGGATGGAGGGCTTCTGAAAGACTCTTTGGTGCTGTGGAAGTCAGTCTGAATATTACTCACAACTTCCATCCTCTTCTTGGAATTTACAACTTCTAGAAGATCAAAAAGATCATTCCTTGTTACCTGATATAAAACATGAAACATTAAAAATAACCCCTCCCTTTTTTATGATCCTGTAATCCCTTAATTAGGGGTAGAGTCAGGGCTACTGGAGGGAACTGAGCATGCCCTTCCTGACGCCTATGTGGAGTTCGCAGCAGATATTTTTTCTTTGCACCCTAGGAGAGAAACATCTGCCGGCGATCTGGCATTGAACTCTCAACCTTCTGAGTGGGAGGTGAGCCACCATGCTGCTACATATAGAAATTCTACATGCACCAATGCTATGTGGTGTACAAATTAGTAAGATTTTTCCAATGAAATTAAACAAATAATTGCTGGCCACAGCTTGAAATGACCCCCCCCCAGGATCTGTCTATCTGATAATTATTCTCCTCAGACAATATTTAGAAGTATCTTAATTATTCCAGTTCTTTATTTATTTGCTAAACATTAATACGTGGCATAATAGTAGCATTTAAAATTTAAAATAACTTTAGAATGAGTTGTTTACATAATGAAGATAAATATAAAACATAATAGAACCTAGAGGGAATTATATGTCCAATTGGAATAAGCTGAGTTATTTAAATCTAGCTTGAGGCTAGCTAGCACAGAAAATTAAGCTATAAAACTCCAGTTCCCCAAATCTGACTTTTTGACATCTGTCTTTGCCAGTTCCCTCACAATGTCAAAGGGAAACAAATACTTTTTCAGGAAAATACAATATATTGTAATGTGAAGCTGACCATTAAACAGCATCCCAGTGTCAAAGCTTCTTACATCTAACCAAATGACTTAAGATGGGATTGGAGGAACTGAATATGTGCAACCTGGAGTAGAGGAGGACAAGGGGGGACATGAATGAAACCTTTAAATATATTGTGAATAAGGTTCTGGAAGGCAGTATTTTCAGTATTAAGCAAAAATCAAGAACACAGGGACATAATCTGAAACTGACAGGAGGGAAGTTCAGAAGTATTGTTAGAAAGTATTACTTCAAAGAAAGAGTAATAGAAGCCTGGAAACAATTTCCAGCATAGGTAGAGGGTCAGTCATCAGTAACTGAGTTTAAACATGCATGGGATAAACACAGGCCCATCATCCAACTAAATAAACAAACAAACAAATAGAAATAAATAAAAACAAAAAAACAAACAAATAAAAATAAATAAAAACAAATGAATGGATGAATGAATAAATAAATAAATAATAGTAAGCAGACAGGCACCTGCCACATAACACCCCAGACTTAACAAATGTCGATAAGAAAGACAAAAAAGTCTGGGCAGTGGATGTGGCAGTATCTGGAGACAGCAGAATAGAAGAGAACAAAATACTGTATAAAGACCTGTAAACAGAAATAGAATAACTGTGGAAAAAGAAAGCAAAGGTAAATAGGAGCTTTGGGTGCAATCCCAAAAGAACTGGAGCATCACTTGAGTACCATCAGCACTGATAAATTCACTATCAGTCAATTGAAAAAGGCAGATTTACTCAAAACAGTTTACATCCTGTGACAATACCTGTAATACTATCAAACATCCACATCTGCCTATTGCAGGTCCTCAGAAAGAACTTGAGAGGTAGACAAAAATGCCAAACCAGTCTGAACATCTGGCTGACTATGCAACGAATCATAATAACAAATATATATATATATGTAGGTCTTTGGTTGTTCGGGTTTTCTCCCGCGTGAAAACCTCAGAAAACAAATATATATACACACAAATATATATATATATATATATATATATATATATATATATATATATATATATATAATTAAAATAATAAATAAATTAAAAAGAAACCAAAAATAAAACACTCAAAGGGCAGACTAGATGGACAACTGTGTCTTTTTCTGCTGTCAATTTTCTATGTCATCACTCTCCCACTGCTAGGTCCATGCACTGTACCAATTCATAATTTTGTTAACAACACTTTACTAGTAAATTGTAGTTGCCTGAGCTCCTGCATATGCCAAATCATAAAACCTAGTTTACAAATGACAATGACTGAAAACACACATCAAGACTTCAAACAAATTCCATTAGGGTACGGTTAATATGATGTGTGAATCAATTTCCCTAGCCTTGTTTATTATGGCTTTAGGCTGCTGAGTTAGCTGGCAAAAGGCATGAGCGAGAGATCCTGTATTGAGGAGAAAAAAGGTGAAGATGCTGTTTTTAATTTATCGCTGTGCCGTAGCTTTCATAGCTCTCTTTCAAGAAAATATAATACTGACTTGCCTCAGCAGGTAGCATCACCTAGCTGAAGGGTTTAAAAGCTCAACAAGATTGGGCAGCAAAGTGACATAAAAAAGTTACTCCTTCTTGCCATTTAGAGATTGTCTTGATTTTTCAAGGTAGACATGGTAAGTATCGGTAGTACTTGAATGCAATGGGGCATGATAACTCAGTAGTTAAAGATGCTGAGCTTGTCAGCTGGAGAGTGGACAGCCCTGGTTTGAGACTTGAATTCCACACAGCAGGGTGAGCTCCCATTATTTGCCCCAGCTCCTGCCCATGTAGCAGTTTGAAAGCATACAAATGTGAGTAGATTAATAGGTACCACTTTGGTGGGAAGGTAACAGCATTCCGTGCTCCTATGGATACAGCCATGACCATGGAAATTGTCTTCAGACAATACTGGTTCCCTTGATCAAGAAATGGAGATGAGCACCGTGCCCCAGAGCTGGACATGACTGGCAGGGAAACCTTTATCTTTTTACTTGAATGCAAGACTATCAGGGAATGCCAGAACTGTAGACTACAGTAATCACCATAATTGTCCTGAAAGAGGGCCATAGCAAACCAGTTTCTTACAGTTCACAAAAATACTGCAAGGAAATGTCCAAGAATGGAGTCTGACATGGCCAAAGTGCATACAAGTAGTCCTTGAACCACAATTGAGTCCAAATTTTCTGCTGTTATACAAGATAGTTGTTCAGTGAGTGTTGCCCCATTTTATGACTTTTCTTGCCACTGTTGTTAAGTGAATCACTGCAATTGTTAAGTTAGTAACAGGGCTGTTAAGTGAGTTTGGTTTACCAATTGACTTTGCTTGTCAGAAGGTCACAAAAGATGATCACATGATCCCAGGATACTGCAACCATCATAAATATGAGCCAGTTCCCAAGCGTCTGAATTTCGTGACCATGGGGATGCAGCAATGGTTGTAAATAGGAAAAATGGTCATAAGTCACTTTTTCAGTGCCCTGTAACTTTGAACGGTCACTAAATGAATGGTTGTAAGTCGATGACTATTTGTATACCTTTCTTAAAAATATATAATTTTTTAAAAAATATATAAGAATATATATTATGTAATATAATTAACAATCTTGTACTGAGAAAAAAAGCAAGCTAGCTTCTTCTTCACATGCTTATACATATATTCATCCGAGTGGAGTGCTGATAATTTAGCAGCGAGCAGAATGCTTGCTGAAAAAAAAGGGGAAATCTTCAGTGCAAAGGTTGGACTAGGAGACCTCTAAGGTCCCTTGTAACGCTATGATTCTTTGACTTCGGAACTAGTAAAGCAAAGAGTTCTGGTGAAGTGGGCAAAGAGCCTGTAGTTAAATGTGCAAGTGGTAACTTTTAGTCTAAGGCAAAACAGAAAGAAGCCACTACTAGATCAAAGGGGGTCCGAAGGAAAGGAGTTTGCATTTGCAGCGGACCCCAGAAATTCGCAATTACCACCCCCCGGCCCCTCCCAGATTTATTTTGTCCTTCGCTTCGAGGCACCGGCGAACCTACCAGGAGTGCAGATCCTTCCACAAAGGAAGGAGTGAGCCGTGGACCGGCCAGGTGCGATCTGTAGCGCAGAAAACCCTTCGCGCCCGCCCGCCTCAAAAGCTTCGGTTGCTATGCTGGTCGTCAACTGCGACGTTCTAGTTTAGAGCGCCAAGCGGGCTTTGGACTGTACCATTCTCTAACCCTGGGAGGGGAGACAAGGAGAAGAGATCTAATATGCTGACGGACGGTCATAAAGCGCGGAACGTCTCTCTCAGCCTTGGAAAGCAGAATGGCTTTGTGTGTTCGGGTTGCGTTGCAACTCTTAGAAAAGAGTTGGAGTTGGATAATAGACACAGCACTGTACAATTAATTAATAACAATTAATAACAAATTGTACCAATTGATTAATAGCAATTAATTATTTAGCCGAGGCGGCCAAGGGATTGCAAGACTTTAATTTGTATTTGGAAGAGGAAATAGGGCGGCTAGAATTAATAAAGAGGGACACGGTAAATACCCTCATTCCTTTTGCCTTTATTATCTCAACTACATATTTGTAGTTGGACTTCAAAGCCGTTACCCAAAGCTATATCCAACAAAACATCAAATAAAAAATAAAACAGTGAAGAGTTGAGAAGTAAATGTGCTAGCACAGTCGCTGTAAAAATATGCTGATACATTTTAGGTGCTAAGACTACATATTTAAAAGGATATACACTACAGTAACCCATGTTTCGCAGTTGGTATTTTATATTGTAGAGCTATGTGTGTGCCTATATTGCCCAACTTGGTAGCAGCAAATAACTGACCTTGACTGATCTTGAGAGCACTTGAATAGAAGACCACTAGGAAATCCCTGTAGGCTAGATTATATTGAAACAATGTAGTAAACTGCATTGTACAATTTCCAAAATCCCTTTAAGGACAAGCGTGTGAGATCACTGGCATCTGAACTTCCTTTAAAGATTTTGCCTTTTTAAAAATACAGTACAGTTCTTGTTTGCACCATGTATTAAGACAGTGGTTCTCAACCTTTCTAATGCCGCGACCCCATAATACAGTTCCCCATGTTGTGGTGACCCCCAACCACATACATCACCGGGTGCCAGGGGCGTGGCCAAAGAAAAGGGGGGGGAAAATGGCAGACAGCTTTGTTTGGCGACCCCCATGAAATGGTCGTTTGACCCCAAATGGGGTCCCGACCCACAGGTTGAGAACCACTGTATTAAGACATGACCTCCAACACCAGATTACTTCCTTTGACTGTCTGTGGGAGGGGAGCATCTTCTTGCCATCTTCTGATTTATTGCATTATTCTCTGTGTCAACAGTGGGGACTTACGGCATTCTAAAATCATGGCTTGCAGCTGTTCCAACTAGGGTAGTAAGCCCACTGTCAAAAAACGCGGCCCATTTCCCATTCCTGCAAAGGCTGCCCATTTCCCATTCCTGCAAAGATACATCTTCCTTCCAATTGAAACAGAGCAGGTATACTTCTAGGTCTGGATTATATCTGTTGTGGAGGGGAGGCAGGATATATATGTTTAAACAAATAATTTGGAACTGTTTCAGCTTTTGAGAAAAAGGTTCCCTGTAAGTAGCAGGTTTGCAAATGTTCTGTGCTCAAAGAGACCTTGTGCTGTAAATAGTTAAGTGGCTAAGGATTTTTATCATTTCTACAGCATTATGCTAAGATAAACTGCATTATCTGCAATAAATACTTTACCTAGATACCAGAAACGAGCCCATTTGAAGAAGAAACTGTGCTGCTACCTATAATATATAAACACGAAACTGCAAACTATTGCCGTTTATTCCAAGTAAAATAGTGCCAATTTAAACTTTTAGGATGTTTGCTTACTTTCTGTTTGTCCAACTTCACCATCTGATGCAGAGGTAAAGGCTGTATTGTCTGTGGCCCCTTTTGTGCAGGGGCTTTTGAATACTGTAGGAATGTTAAACCAGTGTTGGAAGTGATTCTGTTACTGAAAGATTGCACAATCATCTATGCTACCTAACCATCTCATCCTCTGCCGCCCCCTTCTCCTTTTGCCTTCCATCTTTCCCAACATCAGGGTCTTTTCCAAGGAGTCCTCTCTTCTCATTTGGTAGCCAAAGCCTTTGAGCTTCAGCTTCGATATCTGTCCTTCCAAAGAACAGTCAGGTTTGATTTCGTTTAGGATTGACTGATTAGATCTCCTTAACAGTCCACGGGACTCTCAAGAGTCTTCTCCAACACCAGAATTTGAAAGCATCAAATCCTTCAGTGCGCAGCCTTCCTTATGGTCCAACTCTCATAGCCATACATTACTACTGGGAACATCATAGCTTGGACTATATGGACCTTTGTCGGCAAGGTGAAGTCTCTGCTTTTGAATGCACTGCCTAGGTTTGCCATAGCTTTCCTCCCAAGGAGCAAGCGTCTTTTAATCTCATGGTTGCAGTCACGATGTGCAGGGATCTTGCAGCCCAAGAAAATAAAATCTGTCACTGCTTCCATTTCTTCCCTTCAATTTGCCAGGAAGTGATGGGACTAGATGCTGGTCCAACACACTGTCCATATTTATCTTTCTTGAGCCCAACAAAACAAAATGTTCTCTTACGTAATAAGCACTTTCAAATCCTTCGCACCAAGTGGCGTCATCCATGTACCACAAACTGTTATTGTGTTGAAGCTTTTCAACTTTTATTCCAACTCACTATACTTACGATGCATTTGCTGTGTAAGTTAAACAGAAATGGAACAATATGTGTTCTTGTCTCACTTTCTTTCCTCTTCTGAATCATTCTGTTTCTGAAAATTCTCTCTCTCTCTCTGTCTCTCTCTGTCTCTCTCCCTCCCTCCCTCCCTCCCTCTCCCTCATCTATCCATCCATTCATCCATCCATCTACATTAAAAATAGTTATTAAAAAAATCTTGCTGTGCATCAATGAAATTTATATCCTGTATTTCCCTTTTGTTTAGAGAATCATATTGGTATAGATGTAATTATATACTGTAGTGTTCTGTCATAGCAGAATAGATAGCTTTGTATTGATGTTGCTTTCTGCCCAAGTAAGGAGACGGAATGCCTACTCCATCCAACAGCCATCCTATAAGATGGAGCAAACATTTTCATCTGTCAGAGATACTCTCTGAATAGCTGTGCTCCTGGGAAATGCAGTTTGCATTGGGCAAACACTAGCAGAGTGTTTCAGCCTAGCTGAATTACCCCTTGGATAAGGCTTTTCTCCTGCCAGAAATTGGTTTGTGCTGCCACTTTATTCCTTCCAGGTTCTGGAACAATTTCTGTTATTTTCCATGCCTTGACAGATTTATCTTTGGTTTGGTGAAACAAATGCAGTTGTCCTATAACCAGACTTGTTCCCTTATCCATGGGAACACAAAGGATTGATCTTTTCTCTTGACATGGGATGATAACAATGAGTAATGGAAGAGAGAGGTGGAAATATCTTGACTACTGCACAAACTGCACAAACCCTAACATTGCTTGTGACTGGAGGTGTAGCATTCAGGGACAGATATAACAGCATCGGTGCAAGATGCAGACAGCTAAGTTATCCAGGAGAGGGGGAAGAACATCTACGGTAGGAGCCCATGGAGGTAACTTTTGATCTGTGTGAGAGGAGTGAAGGGAAGAAATAAGAGCCAGCCATGTGGATTTTTATGGTAATTATCTTCACATCTCTGGAGCTAACGGTAAGGACCGTAACTGATCAGTGGAATAATTGCATGGTAGCAAGGAAGCCAATTGTCTCTGTCCACCTACTTAAAGGGAAAAGGAGAAAAATATGGGAGCAGTCGGTGTGCAACTATACAGAAGAAGTTCTTTAAAATTCAATGGCATTTGCTTCTGAGCCAGTATCTATGTAGGACTGTGATATAAAATGGAAGGGAAAAAAGTTATGGTCTCCCAAACCGGGATTTGAAGTTACTTAAAATGTCTTAGAACTCTTCCAGTAGGATTATAGAAAGGATGAGAATCTGCTTTAGAGACTCACCTCTGCCCTGATCAAAGATAAAGTGTATAGGTTACATAACTCTTGTCTGGTTGTGAAAGGTTCTTTGTGCTTCAGAGACCAAAACGCATAAGCACTGTGCATTATACTGACAGAATAATCTGCTCATTACGCAGTCTGTAAAAATTTAATTTATGATAGCAATTTACTGGATTGTCAAGGAGCATATAAAGACAGTTGCGAGTCAAACATAAATATTTTACTATGTTCTATATGATAATTTATTGTAATTGATACACTAATTTCATTCTAAAATTAAGAACTGTGCTAAAGTATGTCCAATTATTTCTTGCTCCTTGTCTCGTGTTCAAATATTGCTTCGTATGGGCTAGAAAGATTGGTTTAAATTGAGGCACAAAATATAGGGATGAAACAAATAATCAAGCACATATTAAAAATATGAATAATTGTTAGACTGCATGCAAATAATGGTATAAATAAATAGAAACTATTATGTTTCTAATAATAAAGATGAATAGGTAAACATTTATATAAAGTTTGGGTGAATTATTATTCAGTTTATAACAATTTATTGAATCGTTCATTTAGAAATGTTTCTATTCACAAGGGGTTATCACTTAAGGGAAGCTAAATAGTAAATGGAAATAAAAATGAATGGAATAAAATATTCCATTCATTTTTATAAGTTTTAAATGACAGATGACTTTTTTTTGCTATAATAGTATTGGATAAATAATAAGTATCAGAAGTCGTCAGTGACTTTTCTGTTCAGGTATTTTGGCCATAATCAACATTACTTACAAAATCTATGACTTTTGTGACTTAATTGTGCCTTAGTCCTGCATAAGCTGCAATAAAGTTGTGATGTAGAACTGTGGTTCTAAGATGTTAATTTCCATAATTTTGTCCTATTTGCAAAATGATCCCATTGACATAGTGCCACTGTGACTTTGCTTCTTGGGAGAGCAAAATGCCGGGAACTGAAACAAGACAGATGGCTTCTCCCGTGGAGAATCACTTGTCCTGCAGATCTCTCTGTCACACACACAAATTTTATTTGAAGTGGAACCAAGAAGAAGGAAAAAATGAAAGAAAAGAGTGTGTGCCTGTGTGTATGAATGTGTGTATACAAGTAATATAGGTAACTCTTCATTTAGTGACCATTTGAAGTTACAATGGCACTAAAATGTTGACTTATGACTGTTTTTCACACTTATGACCTTGCAACATCTCTGTGGTCACGTGATCAAAATTCAGACGCTTGGCAACTGGTTCGTATTTATGTGATCACCTTTTGTGATCTTCTGACAAGCGAAATCAATGGGGAAATCAGATTCACTTAACGACCATGTTACTATCTTAACAACTTCAATAATTTATTTAACTACGGTGGCAAGAAAGGTCATAAAATGGAGCAAAACTCACTTAACAACTGTCTTGTTTAGCAACAGAAATGTTGGGCTCAGTTGTCATAAGTCAAGAATTACCTGCACACTGTGTGTGTGTGTGTGTGTGTGTGTGTGTGTGTGAGAGAGAGAGAGAGAGAGAGAGAGAGAGAGAGAGAGGGGCAGGCAGGCAGAGAAAGAAAAAAAATGTCCAAGTCATGTAAAATTAAATAAGAATTTTCAAAGTAATATTATACTAGTATTGTATATAAAGGTGGCTTTACATCAGTATTTTAAATTTGTTGTTAAAATCAAGTCAAGGCAGCCAATATACTAACAATTATCAATCAGAGTAGTTTTTAACCTAAGAGTGTTTATTATTATTCTCAGACAAAATCTAAAATTTTAAGGCCTTGCTTCAGACGTGATACAAGTCCCTGTGCAAAGTTATATCCCAAATTAAATTAAATTAAATTCAGCATCACATTGGTTTTTCAATTTTAAAAAAGGGATTGCCCGGAGACATTCATACTTTGCCTCTAATGAAGCAATGTCTTGCAGCTATAGAAGAGATGTAGCAAATCTGTCCTTGTTGCATTTCTTCTGGAAAAAAAGAGAGAAGTGGCTGATTACGCAACTCATCTCATGAAGACCCTGGAGAGCTATATATTTTGGTAACTTTTCCTGGGGATATGTAGTACTGTAACATAAATGATTTTGGATATACAGGTGGTCCTTGGCTTATGACTACAATTGAGCCCCCAAAATTTCTGTTCCTAAGCGAGACAGTTGTTAAGTGATTTTGGCCCATTTTAAGACTTTTCTTGCCACAGTTATTAAGTGAATCACGGCAGTTAAGTGAATCTGGGTTCCCCCTTGACTTTGCTTGTCAGAAGGTCACAAAAGGTGATCACATGATCCTGGGACACTGCAACGGTCACAAGTATGAACTAGTTGTCAAGCATCGGAATTTGATGCTGCAACAGTCGTGTGAAAAGTGGTCATAAGTCACTTTTCCAGTGCCGTTCAGTGTATCTTCAAATGGTCACTAAACGAATGGTTTAAGTCAAGGACTTCCTGTGTGTAACCCTTGTGTTTGGAATGGCTCTGAAGAATAGTAACTTAGACCCCAAAACTATGTAAGAAGAAAATTGAACCTGGGTCATTTTTATTTTTAAACCTTCGTAGTAATGCTGACTATATGTGTGGGTCTGCACATTGTGCTAAGCCAAAATGTATTGCAGGGAGGGGAAGGGAGGACTATTGGTTTTGACTTAACATGCAATGTAAATCCAACCAATTGCTTCTTTATTTAGTCTGATAGAAAGGTTTGTCAATATTTGATTATGCAGTTGTTCCTGAGATTTTATAGCTAAGGGTAAGAATCAATTAATGTTCCTAGAATACAGCTTGATTAGTAACTACTGTGCTTATTATGCTAGCTGGGAGTATTGGAAACTAATCCAACCATCTCTCCAATTTTTCCTTAGGGATAGGGATCAAGGATAAGGCCTTGAGCCAATCTGCTTGTAAATATTTGTGTTACACTGATAAGAACTTCCACATAAAATGACTGTCTAGGCCAGTTTTTCTCAAGCTTTTTACCCCTGAAGTCCCTTGAAATAATTTTCAAATCTCAGGGACCTCTTCCATGAAACTTATTATATCTACAGCACAGGGTGATTAATAAACTGAGCTGTGCATAGAAATTCTCATCATTGCGAGTGCTAGCATTGAGCGGTATGCAAAATTTTAAAAGGGATGTTTGGGTGTGGTTGTTTTTTAGTCATGACCTGTTGCAGAACCCAGGTAGACAAGGGCTGATCATCCTAACTTGGTACCCTCCAAAAAGTCTTCTTTCCCAACAAATGTAGCCATGATAACTTGGGATGATAAGATGATTAAAGATTGTATGGTTAAATGGGCTCAAAATTTTGACGAGCCGGTTTTATTAGAAACATGGGAGATAATTTGGGTGAGGAATGTTAAATTCACACAAGCTCAAAATTTACGGGAAAATTTTTATAAAATGTTTTATAGATGGCACCTTGATCCACAAAAGATGTCTCGTATGTATTCAAATTTGCAACCTAAATGTTGGAGATGTGGTTGTTTGGACGCAACGTATTATCATATTTGGGGGTCATGCAAAAGTATAAAAACTTTTTGGATAAAGATATGGTGGAATATTCAAAAAAATTTTAAGAGAAGGATAAGATTTACTCCACAATTGTTTCTGTTAGGTATCATTGTTGATTGTAATGACAAAGAAATTGTTTTAATGTTAAATCTAATTACAGCGGCAAGGTTGTTGATAGGACAATATTGGAAGCAGGAATTTTTGCCTACTTTGGAGGAATGGTTTTTTAAAGTTTCTTATTTATCTGAAATGGCAAAAATTTCTGCTTATTTGAAAGATCAATCGCAAGAGAAATACCTTTTGGTGTGGAAAAGATGGATAAACTTTATACAGTATAAGTATGATATTAAAAGATATTATTTAGCTTTTGAATAATTTATGTTGAAACTTTAAATTTTAAGACAATAAGTATTTTGTATCATATATATACATTGGACTTTTTTATTACTTAAGTTTAAATGTTTTGTATTTTTTAGTTCTTGTTAACCCTGTATTCAGCTCTGGGAAGAGGGGGGGGAGGGTTTTTTGGGAGGGTTGGGAGGGAATGGGAGAGGGATATTATTGTAAAATTGTAAAACTTTTAATTTAAAAAAAAAAAAGATGATGTCCAAAATATTTAGAGGACAGTAGCTAGGAAGCCCAAAGTCTTTTGTACAGTGTTCGTCATATTCATCACGTTATGGTTTCCTCTATACTTCTCCCCCTCCCCCTCCCCCTCCTGCATCATACCCATAAGCAGGTGCAGCAATTGTGAGAATATCTTGTGATAAGTATGTGCTACTTACTACAAGACGTATAAGTTACTGAGTGGAGCACAGCAGTATTTCATGCTTTTCCCTTTTTCAGGCAACTTATTTCATACATATTTATAAACACCACTTGGTATTTGGAATGTCAGGCTGGAAACCAATTAAAGCCCTTGAACAACTTCTGGAAGTAGCATGTGATGTTTACTTATTCTGACATGTTTACATCCTCTAAGGCAGTGGTTCTCAACCTTTTTAATGCCGCGACCCCCAACCAGTCGTAAGTCGAGGACTACTCAACCGGTCGTATGTTGAGGACTATTCAACTGGTGCAGCACCATTTGCAGAATGGGACTTTTGGCGGGCTCAGCAGGACAGAGACAGCCTGGACAATTCCTATTGGCTTTTGAAAGCCAATAGAATTAGACTCTATTCAAGAGAGTCTATTCTAGCTTTCAAAAGCCAATAGAATAAAAGGGAGTAGCACAGCTAAGGAAAAGGGGGAAAAAATGGCGGACTGCGTTGTTTGGCGACCCCCGTGAAATGGTCGTTCGACCCCAAATGGGGTCCCGACCCACAGGTTGAGAACCACTGCTCTAAGGTGAGGGGAGAGGTCTTGCTTTATTCTTCAAAGGCAGAATACATCTTGCGTTGAAACCTATTGCCAATCCTGACTTATCTCAGGCAATTTTGATTTACTTCTGCAAGTTGAAATAGAAGAATTTTAACTTACCCGTACTGTATTTCTTATGGTTGTGGTTATAAGGATCAAGCTTCATTGGGGCTACTGGATCTAGGCTGCAAAAATCTGGACAATCATTAGATAACACCAAATGAAAAGAGCATTCTGTCTGTCTGTCTTTCCACTGAGTGATCTTTCAGAAGTTACGATCCAGATCTGATACCCCTAAATTCCACACTTGCTGCCTTGTGTTGTAGGTTTCTTTTTCCAAAATAATGCTTATCAATTTTATTCAACATCTGCCATTTAGGACAAAGAAAGAAAAACTCCTTCTTGCATGTATGACTGACAGCTTGCTTTAATGTCCATCAATATAAGTCTCTCATCACAACTGAAGTTGCTATTCTGTCTTTGATATAGTGCAGGGATAGGCAACCTTGGCTCTTTTATGACTCATGGACTTCAACTCCCAGAATTCCTGAGCCAGCCATGATGAGGGGAAGGGAGAGGTTTCCAGGCTGAGCCATGCTGGCTCAGGAATTCTGGGAGTTGAAGTCCACGAGTCATAAAAGAGCCAAGGTTGCCTGCCCCTGGTATAGTGGTATAGTGATTAAAGAAACTTCCTCAAGTAGAAACCTTCCCTTTTTTGGAGTCTTGTCATTCTCCCATCAACATGGATAAGGTTAGGTCAATTGACAGATTACAAGTAGGAAACCTATCATCTTCCAGATAGGGTTAACATATAACTCCCATCATCCCATCTGACCATATGAGAAGTTGAAGCCCTGGCTCCCATCTGGAGGTTGATATTGTTGTATATCTTCAAGATGTATCAAGCTCTCAATATTTCCTGTACATCCCTCCTCCGCTCCTTGGGATTACTAGTAAGTAAATAAAATTAAACGTAATTTTAAGTGAGAAGATGGACGGGAGTGGAGAAATCACCATCAAAATGTTGATGCAGTTAAAGCAAAATAAGAGTTTTTCATTGGATACTCCTACTGTACTCTTGCTAGCACCTCTGTTCAGAAATAAAAGAAGAAAAGAAAGAACTTCCCTTAAGAACATAGCAAGCAACTGCCTGTCAAAATTAAAAATACCGTACGGGTTTGAAGGACAAAGTAATTTTGTCTTATATAAAAATAAGGGTTTTTTTGTAACTTTCCTAAATTGTTTGCAAAAACCCACAAATGATGGCTCTCATTGATGGTAGATGTCTCATATCTCATCCATCCAGGATTGAAGAGAAGACACTCTTCTTATGGCAAACCTGGTAGTCTTTGCTTTCTGTGGGACATATCTAATACTGCAACATCTACCTGTACAGTTACTTAACCATAATGTTAGGCTAATCAAGTTGAAATGTTTTTGATTGAGTTATAACCATATATCTGAAATTTCATAAATTAAAGCTCAAACTTAATTCCAACAAGACTTACAGCTCTTACTCAAAGGGATCATTCAGCTGCATAAGCAGGTCTTCCTAATGTATAACTGATGGGTTGTTGCATGCCCTAAAACAGTGGTTCTCAACCTTTCTAATACCGTGACCCCATAATACAGTTCCCCATGTTGTGGTGACCCCCAAGTGGGCGTGGCCATCAATAAGAGGGAGTAAGACAGCTAGGGAAAAGGGAAAAAATGGCGGACAGCGTGGTTTGGCGACCCCTGTGAAATGGTCATTCGACCCCAAATGGGGTCCCGACCCACAGGTTGAGAACCACTGCCCTAAAAGGAATTCTCTAGAAATTAAATTCTGATTTGGATCTAGCTGTGCAGTAGCCTTTGTAAGTCCTTGACAGAGAAATTGCATCTGTTTGATGTGCTGAACATCCTATGCTTTCCCCCTTGTGTCTACAGTTGCTCTTTGTGAACCAATTCTTCTTTCCCTTCAATTTTTGGAAAGCTATCTAGTTGGACATATCCCCATCCAGGTAGAGAGGGGAATAGATGGATTAAGAAATCCAATCATAAAAGCAACCATTTTACTGTAGCATAAACTGGCATGCGAGTTAGAATTTCAGAGGTATTTTAAGTATAGAAATCTGTATGAAGAATGGCAGCATTCAGTAATCCTTTGCAGGAGGTAACATGTCAAGATAAACTATGTTATCATCAACTCTGGGGTATTCATTCTATAAAACTTTTTAATTTATATACATAATTGATTTTAATAGAAGAAGTTGATTCAGGGCCCAATAATGGTGAATGCTAACTTTTTTTTATAATGTGTGAAAGTAGATTAGTTCAGCTACACTCATAGAAATAGGTATTTCTTGTGCACTAGGCATGGTTGATGTAAATCAGGCTTGCATAAACTGACCTGCAAAGCCAAGTATACTTTACCACCATACAAGGCAGTCGCCCAGAATGTTGTAAATCTCTTGGGTCTGCTTGTTTGGAATTGCAAAAGGTTGCCCAGGATCTCCCTACTAGCAACACACAATGTTTAGACTGAATTGCACCATTAGTGCTTGAATTGTACAGGCATAGAGAAATGGGGCACTTTCAGTATTCCATGCATCCAGGCAAGACACAGTAACTAAATTGTAGTTGTATTCGCAAACTGCAAACTAGCCAACCACATTTTAATTTAGCATATTGTACAAACCCAGACTTAATAAATTCCTTAGGAAAACCCAAAAAACAGAGCTGATGAGTAAATTATTTTCAATTTAGATTATATTGTCACTATTTGTGTTAAGCAAAAAAGGCTGGAATAATACAAAGAGGTATTGATAGTGAATGGAATGGGGACAACTATCACAGGAGACTCGCAAGAGGATACAGGGGGTGTGTGTGATAAAAATTTGCATTTTGAGTCACAACATAAAGCCCATGACTTAAGCATTTGCATCATGATATAAGAATGCATCGTTTGTCATTTTTCTGCCTTCCCAGTTAGAAGTATATGACAATCATGATAGAATAACCGCATGATGGTTTTGATTGATTGTGCTATAAGCCTCATCTGGAATCATGTGATTCATTGACTGGAATTAGGTGTAATGTGAAACAACTTAAGAAAAACATTTTTTTAAAAAATATGATCTATATATATTGGAGTCTAGTTGACCATTTTGCCCTTAAGTTGGAATACCCTTTTCAGAAGGGTATTTCAATTTTTCAGAAAGGAGGAAAGCAGCTTTGTCTTCTAGAGTGCTTCCCCGCTCTTGCAAACAAATCCCAGGATTAAATTCTAATGAGTTTGGGCTTTAGTTGAGTTCAGAAGACAAATAAGCCACTGCATTATTTTAAAATGCTCTAATTATAATTATATAAAAAAGGACCTAGCTGCTATGTTTGGTAATCAGCGTAACAAAAAAGTGATAAAATGATACTTTTTAATACAGCAGATTGGAGCTTTCATTTCATCATGTGAAATCAAAAAAATCATGAGGATGGAAAAAGAACTCTGCACCTCGGCACTTGCCCAGGAAGAAGCAAACAGAACAGCTGGAAATGAATTACTCAGGAATTCAGGTATGTCTCAGCATGTGAGTTGGGGCCATCTAGATCAGAGGTCTCCAAACCTGGCAATTTTAAGATTTGTGGACTTCAACTCCCAGAATTCCTCAGTCAGCCATGGGGATTGAAATCCACACAGTTTACACTTGCTGAGATTGAGAAATACTAGTTTAAACTATTTGAAATATAGCAAGAGAAATTTGGATCACCTAAAATTTCAGAATGGCAGTATGTTCAGTTAACACATCTTGTATACATCTTGTTGTTCAGGAATTCTGTTGCTTCTAACTTTTTGGGACTCACTGGGACACTCTAAGGATTGTCTCAGTATTCTTGTAAACTCGTGCTTGCATTGTCAGTATTGGCTTCTAGCTATCTTGTCTTCTGTTGGCATTTTTCTAATTACTGTTGATTTTTCCAAGCATTGTGGTCCTTTCCAACATTCCTACCTTCCCACAATGCACCCAAAATATTTAAGCTCTGGCTTTTTTTATTAGTGCTTCTAATGAGTAGGCTGGTTCTACTTCATCTCGTACGGAATAATTCAATCTTGCTAGAGTAAATAAATACAATACAAGCCATCACTGTGCAGAAGCCATCTTGTGTGTGTGTGTGTGTGTGTGTGTGTGTGTGTGTGTGTGTGTGAGGGAGGGAGAGAGAGAGAGAGAGAGAGAGAGAGGGAGAGGGAGAGGGAGAGGGAGAGAGAGAATACAACAGGAAAAATATACAATAGAGATGAATGATAGAGCTGCACATGAGGTAAACATAACACCCTTTATATCTTCCCCTTTTCATGTTAACCAAACAACACTGTGAAATTTTGGATGAGAACTAGTAACAACACTTGTTGGATGGTTGGGGACGTCTACCACTACAGGACAGGCTCTCTTTGTACTAAGGGTTTCTTCGATCTCGCTGAGGTTACTGGGTTCTTCTCACCACTTACTGGGACATTTTGCATTTGACTGCTGTCAGGGATACCGGCTTGCTCAGAACTGTCATTAGCATTGGTCTGTGGTATCAACACAGTGCATACCCATTGCCAGTGGGTAAGTGAATCCAATCCCAGTTCTGACACCATGTTTCATGTGGAGTAAATAAATACAATACAAGCCATCACTGTGCAGAAACCATCTTCTTAGAAAGAGAGAATACAACATGAATAAGAAATGCATCACAGGAACAATAGAGATGAATTATAGAGCAGCAATGTGACACATGAAACAAATACAATAGAGATGAATGATAGGGCTGCATATAAGGTGAACATAACACCCGTAACAGTACTTTCAGCAGTTTTCTCCAAAACCATAATTCAAAGGCCAACATTTTTCCTTTGTTCAGTCTTTGTTCAGTCCAGTTTTCATTTACAATGGGAAATCCCAGGCTTTGACAATATGTATCTTATTTATCAGCATAACATCTCTACACATTAAAATTTTGCCTAGACTTTCTTCCGACAATCAAAATTTCTTTATTTTATAGCTATAGTCACTATCTCTAGGTGAATTTATGAGACTATAAGATAAACTTTTAACTACTTAACTTTTTCTCTACTAGTTAGCTGTTAACTTATGTTGCATATTTAGAAATGGCGATTTAATCCACAGTTCTTCTTTTTCTTTTTACCTATTTTTTTCTTTTTTATAAAAAACTCTGGAAGTAATAATAATAATAATAGTAAAGTTGGAAGGGACCTTGGAGGTCATCTAGTCCAACCCCCTGCTCAGGCAGGAAACCCTACACCATTTCGGACAAATGGCTGTCCAGTCTCTTCTTAAAAACTTCCAGTGTTGGAGCATTTACTGCTTCTGGAGGCAAGCTGTTCCACTGATTAATTGTTCTCACTGTCAGGAAGTTTCTCCTTAGTTCTAGGTTGCTTCTCTCCTTGATTAGTTTCCACCCGTTGCTTCTTGTCCTGCCTTCAGGTGCTTTGGAAAATAGCTTAATTCCCTCTTCTTTATGGCAGCCCCTGAGGTATTGGAATACTGCTATCATGTCCCCCCTTGTCCTTCTCTTCGTTAAACTAGACATACCCAATTCTAGCAACCGTTCCTTATATGTTTTAGCCTCCAGTCCCCTAATCATCTTTGTTGCTCTTCTCTGTACTCTTTCTAGAGTCTCAACATCTTTTTTACATCGTGGTGACCAAAACTGGATGCAGTATTCCAAGTGTGGCCTTACCAAGGCATTGAAGAGTGGTATTAATACTTCACGTGATCTTGATTCTATCCCTCTGTTAATGCAGCCTAGCACTGTGTTGGCCTTTTTGGCAGCTGCAGCACACTGCTGGCTCATATTTAAGTGATTGTCCACTAGGACTCCGAGGTCCCTCTCCCAGTTACTGCTATTGAGCATGGTGCCACCTATGCTGTACTTGTGCATTTGGTTTTTCTTGCCTAAATGTAGAAGTGGAGGATTATAAGAAAGGAAGAAGGAAAGATGAGAATAATCCCATATAAGGAATAGAAGATTAATTAAGGGGGAACAAAATGCTAATTTGCAATTAGTTCTGTAGCTATACCGATCAGGGAAGAATGTCCCGTAGAGAAGCTGGAAGATTAAACTGTTAATTAATGCCTTTCTTTCTCTGTCTCTCTAACTCTGTGTTTGTCTCTGCCTTTATGTGTGTGTATGTGTGCACACGAACATATATACATAGATACATACAGTACATACATATACTGTCTTTGTGCACATGTCTATTCAAACTTGTTAGTTGTAGGATAGAGTTGTATAACTTGAGTAAGCTATGGTTCAGCTAATTTATAATTTATTTACGGTTCAGCAAGTCCTGTGAATCCAGATAATCATGATGTGTAGTATAGTTCTAGCCTAAATTTCTGATATCTACACCTCCTGTAGGAGCAGGGATGTGTAGAATATCAATTTCAAATCACATTTTCTTCCTACTCCAGGACAAGCTCTCCATGTGGCAATTTGTGCATGGAGGAACAAGAGTTGTAAGGTGACCAACCGTCCTCCTTTAGGGAGGACAGTCCTCCTTTCGTAAGTTCTGTCCTCCCTCAAAAAGTGTTGTCCTTCATGTCCTCCTTTTCGATATTTGAAGACTAATCTGCAGGGCTTTTTTTTCCCTCATAGAAGCTCAGAATGGCGTTCTGGCACCTTTTTTGATGTTTTTTTTTTCAACTTTTGCATGAGCTGTGTTACTCCCACTATTGGCTTTTGAAAGCCAATAGGAATTGCTGCTGAGCGCGCCAAAACACCCGGCTGGCAAACTTTGCACATGCAAGTTGTCTGTATTATTGTTGCAATGAATAAAATGTTTCTTTTATTTACGATATTTTTTCTTCAATTTATTTGTGTCCTCCTTTTCATTGTAAAAAAGTTGGTCACCTTAAGAGTTGAGATTAACTTTCAAAAATCAATACTGGGAATAGCCTGTTAGCCAAAATCCTACTCTAATTTGCTGATTATCTCTAAAACCTTCCCCTGATACCACAATTTTTGAACTATCATAGTAACCATACTAGATACCAGAAAATGAATATTTAAATATTATGAGCACTTTGCTATTCTGAACGATGGAAAGTACACTGCCCAGCTCCCTCAAGGGAGCCCCAGTACCAAAAGAGTTAGTATATAATTAAACCTTGTGTAAAAAGAGTAGTCTGTTTGGTGGATTTATGTCCCATTTTATGATCCTGGCATCATATGAGTTAAGATGAAGTAAGCTTAAATATTTGGGAGGATTAGCAAGGAGATTTCTGGAACAATAGTTGATTGAATACTAATATGAATGTGCTTCTTCCTGGTTTTAATTAATTAGGTTTCATTGACTTAGTCAGCCCTTGTCTAAACAAAAGAATGACCTTGCATACCTTTTTAGTCAGCACTTGAATTCAGAAATATCTGTCCAATTTGTATCTGTTTTTAGAGTATATTTTTGCTCCTTGCCCTCCCATAATAATCTTACAGAGCTCTGAACACCAAAGTAAAGGTAGACCTTTAGTAGAAGATAAGAAGACCAATTCACCTCTCTCCCCTTCTTAGCACACTTGGCAGTCCATTAATACATGCTCCTGGGATGGCATGATTTGTGAGTACTGGCATTAGTTAATGGAGGTTGGTAGACTGCCAAACCCTGTGCTGTTTGGGCTATATATGATGTAGCCCTAGCTGATCGAAATTACAGCAAGTACATTGTGAGATGCAAGGTAAACAGGAGGAACTCTTTAATATAGTTTTACAAGCTGTAAAATACTTGTGGCATCAGAAAGGAGGAGGATAAAGGGCATGGTGTGAGGCTAGTGCTTACTTCTACTCTACTCCACAGAGATAGATATACCAATAAAGGAGAATATATGTAACTCAGGGTTGAAATGAGGGGCCCTTGATGCTCTCTGAGCTTGGTTGATTTCTTGAAGACGTTTCATTACCCAACTAGGTAACATCATCAGTGCTAGAGGTTGATTTCCCATACATTGGTTGATGCAGGCACAGCCTCTGGATTATGATAGGGTTTTTTCCCCTCCCCTCTGTAGGATTCATTTACTATTTTGATGTGTTTTTGTTCTTGCACCTTAGGCAGATGCCTTGGCATGTGGGATAATCTTACTTGTTGGCTGTCTTCTCCCATCGGACAAACTGTTAGTGCACCCTGTCCCCGAGCCTTTCAAATAGTCACAGGACAAACAGGTAACACGAGAACCATGATTTAATGGTCAAACACGTTTTCAGAGGATCTGGGAGTTGTCTTAGGCTTTTGGAGCTGAAGGAGTTAGGCTACTTTTCAAACTGTATTAGACTGACTTCTGTTCCTATATGAAGAATGTTGTCTGTTTTTCATTCAGGGTCCAGGACACCATAATTGCTCATTTTGGGCACCAAAACACTGTAGGTTGAACTCTGAGGTGAGGGCTGCATTAAAAACAAAACAAAACAGTAAGACGTCCAAGAATTTGCTTCTTTGCTTGTTCATTTCCTACAAGACTCAAAATGACTCTTGGTAGTTTTCTAGGCCAGAGGTCCCCAACCCCAGGTCCATGGACTACTATTGGTCCGCGGCCCTCTGGAAACCGGTCTGTGCAAGCAGCAGGCAAGGGCGCAAACCTCCATTTGTGCATGTGCGAGATTAGGTTGTGTGCGTGAAACCATCCCCCTTCCCCCCCCGCTGCCGCTGCTGGTCTATGGAGCCAGAAAGGTTGGGGACCGCTGGTCTAGACAGTTACATTGATGAAGATAAACTCATCAATGTGTATTAACCATGATGGTTAGGAGGAATAACTTATTCCAGTTGATGAAGAAGGCAGCTGTGGCCTTCGTATCATGATTCCCAGAAGGACAGCATGAAGAAATGCTTTCCCAGAAGAATTTACTGGGGTCACCCTGAGAAAGAAGATAGCGCATTAGATGGATCCTTAAGTCTGAGTGGGGCTTGCTTGATGTTCTTATGAAATGAACAAAAAGTTCACATATTGCTCACATAATGCATTGTAGAAACTTAGTTAATAATGATCTATTCAAGAAAACATTCATTAGTATGCTCTCAGAGACATTGGGTATAAACCCTGGTGACTCAGGAAATGATAAAATGTGCATGGTGGCATCACAATGCAAACCTGGCCCTTTTATATTTGTGTCCCATGACACATATTTTGTCATTTGCCTCTTGTTTACCCTACCTTCCCTTCCCCAGCTCCCATGCATGATATATTAATCTACTTGGGATCACAGCACAGTTGCAAACATTCTGGGTGGTCTTATGTGTATATTTGTTTTAGCCCTGGCTTCCTATCTAATAAAATAAAATAGATTACTTTTAAGAAAATAATTTCCTCTTAGGCCAGCACTGGAAATGGGAAGTAATGCTAGACCTTTTCATCATATTACGATCACTATTTGCTTTAATTTAACAATAAAATCAAATAATTTTGACTGTATATTCAAAACTACATTTTCCTCTTATTTATAGTCCAGTACTTAATTGTGGGCTTTTCCTGTTCTTGTTGTTGCAATGCAGGGTTTATGTATCGTAATTGCACCAGGGAAGGCTGGTCAGAAAAATATCCCAAACCATATATTGCTTGTGGCTTAAATGCCAAACAACTTAATGCCCCTATAACTGAGTGGGAATCTAAGGTGAGTTCGCCTCTTCAGCTATAATATTTCTGCACATGATAGAAAATCCTTTATGCAAGCTCAAAAGTTGGTCTAATATTTGGCCCTTGTGTAGACCACCACCAACAAAAAAGGGGGGTGTTAAAAAGTATTTTCTGAATGTGTAAAAGCACATTCATATTTTGCAGGTGCATAAATTAGCTATGAATATGTGAAAATTGACATGTACATATACTGAAGTCTGGTTACTATTTAGCAATCACAGAAGTGTGAAAGTCCACATAAGAAGAAAATCCAGCTGTCTCCATGTCAGTGATATCACTTATAGCCACGGATGCAGAATTGCTGTTTCAAGGCAACAAATTCTACTTCAGAAAAAGATAGTATTGCTACTTCAGAATAGTCTGGGCTCTATTGGAGAGATATTCTTGGCTCTACCAGCTTCTCATAGCAATAGCAATAGTAACAGCACTTAGATTTATATGCTACCCTATAGTGCTTTACAGCACTCTCTAGGCAGTTTACAATATCAGCATCTTGCCCCCAACAATTTGGGTCCTTGAAAGGATGGAAGGCTGAGTCAACCTTGAGCCCCATCAAGATCGAACTCCCGGCCTGTGGGCAGAGTTTGCCTGCAATACTGCATTCTAACCACTGCACCACCAAGGCTCATAAAGATCTGAGATTTCATCATCATGATTGGAAGAACTCCAAATGCGGAATTATTATCACATTGACATTGGGAATGGTGAAGGCCACAAGGATTGCCAACATGGCAAACACAGACTTCTGTTCTCTTTGAGCAGCACGGACCTGAAAAGAGAGGGAGGGTGTAGGCAGTCAGTGATTGGCTGTCAGGTGACCCCTGATTGGCTGACAGTTCTTTCTGCTCAACTATTGGACAAAAGAGCAAGCAGTAATTGATGGGAGATTGGTTGTGAACTCTATACTGCCTTGCACCTAATATTCTGCATAGGTCTGAAAATAGTTTAAAGTCATCTCACTTACTAGGTGCATTTTAAACTGGATTCAGAAGGATTGATATATCAGAAAGGCTACTTGTCTGGAAGTGTCCTATATCTCTGAAATAGTTTTTTGCTGATACAATTGCACCCATTTATTTCCTCTGACCTCACGGAACTGGATTTTCTCTTGTGCACTGAAGGACTAGATTCAATGAAACACATTGAAGAATAAATAGAGTGCCAACCTGGCTGATTCAGGTTTAAATCCACCCACTTAGGAACCAGTAGGGACACTCATAAATCTATGGTATCTACAAATGTTGAGCTTCCCTAAACCTACATGTTTGAAACATGGATGTGCAAATGGATAGGTAGGTCACACAAGGAGGGCAGGAATACATATTACCTTTTTTGTCTGATTAACCGATTATGTCCTTTGAAGGAAGAATTGGATCAAGCCTTTGTTTTTGACACTCTACTTAATTACAGAATTGATTATTGCAGCAGCTTCCATGAGGGGCTGTCCTGGCAGACTGCCTGAAAATTTAACTTACTTGAGTATGCTGCCAACAGACTTAGATCAGAAGGTGCAATATACAATGATGTTGTCATCATTTGTTTCCTTGCCCACTTTTAAGCAGGCACTAGAGAGTTTTATTTTTTGCAGTCATTTAATGGGCTCTTTTATTCTCAAGGGTTGTGCTTTATGAGGCTGTTTTTATTTTGCAATTTAGTTCGTTTGTAATTGTTGTGCACAGGCACTAAGCATTTTATATTCTGTTTAAATGGATATAGAAAGGTGAGATATAAAAGCCAAAGTACAAACAAAGGCAGACATTTTATTATCATTACAGAAAACGTATTTTTGGGGTTACTTTCATCTTTATTCTACAAGTGCTTATTTGTTCTGCTTGGTTAGTTGGATTCACAGACAAGAGAGCTGCTTCATGTAAGAAAAATAACTGTAAATAGCAGCACCAATGATCCAATTTAGTACTGTCCAATTCAATAGCCTCTTTAATACATGTTCTTTCAAAATGTTGGAATAGCAGAATCATGTATCTGTTGTTGTATTAAGTGAATTAGGTATTGCCTTTGAGGGTCATGTGAACAAGGCAACTCAACATGCCTCAGATCATTGATTCCTACTGCAGTCACATAAGTACTCATGAAGATCACCCATGCTGCTAGACCATGATTACCCATGGTCTGTCAAAAAAGCCATAGTGACTGAACTTACACATAACTCTAAATTGTAAATCTTGGCCCTCCAATCATAATAGCCATCCCCACATATTAAAATGAGCCACAAATAAGCTACATTCTGGTCTGATGTAATATTGTAAGTCCCACTTCTGATTTAAATATGCTAACAGTGATTACACACCTGGCTGAGGATATTTCTTTGTTTTGTTTCTTCCATGTTTTCAGTCAAACTGAGTTCTACCAAAAAAATAACTGGGATTTGCAGAGAAAGTCAGTTGCCTCAAAGCATGATGGTACTAAGTTTATTGCAAATAAAAGATATGTTCCTATGATATTATTTTTAACGCAACATTGAAGGGCTTCTTGTACGAACACAACTCCTACCTGAAACAAAATATCCTTTGATGTCTTCTTACAGGTATCTTATCTAATGAAATTGGAGACCGTGTACACTATTGGAAGCAGCATTTCCCTCATAGCTCTGACAGCAGCCTTGGGCATCTTAGCTTCTTTCCGGTGAGGAAGAATTATCCACATGTTTCTTAGTCTTTCCTTAGTTTATCTAGTAATGACCCACATGAATATGTCTGGGTGTATTAAATGATGTAAAACACTGAGATATTTTGAATCCTGTTCCATTCATTGGTGGGGTTGGGAGTGGAGAAATTATGATAATCATAGATCTGACAATACTTTTCCATGATATATTCAGAATGTACGACCATATTACTTTATCTGCTTTTACTTGATCGTATGATATTGCATTTAATTTGTCAAGTAGATTTTTTATTTTTATACTGTGTTTCCCTGGGAGCCACTGTGCAAGAAATTAACATAATTTACAGTTATCAGTTTTACTGTACAGAAGCCCTACTAGGTTGCAGGACGTAGCAAAACTCATATGATCTCAAAAAGCAAAACAGAGTTGAGATTCAATGAGTGCTTGGCTGTGAGACTATCAGAAAATTCCAGGGCTTTAGGCTAAACTGGGAAATTGATTAAAGAAAAAAAAAACATCCTGAAAGTAGGCAATGGCAAACCACTTCAGCCAGGAAACCTATATGTATGTGTCCGTGAACTCACCCAAGTTGAGCTGAACTCACTTGAGTTTTTGCCCTCAGGAATAAGCCATCTGATAAATCCATAAATGTATTTATTTAATTAGGTAGATTTATATGGCTGCCTGACTCGCACACAGTGACTCTAGGAGGTGTCCAGCATTGAAGAAAATCAACATTTTTAATTTAATCAGCAGGTCAATTGAATGTTTAATCAACATTAAATATTAACCTAGAGTGGCAATGTCTTCTTCTTTGCATATAATTGGATTCTAGACAATACAGGCAAGAAGCTTGGAAAGTTGTCTAGCTTAAATCTTGGAAAGCTTGCTGCAGATTAAAGCAAATGATTCCAAGCAATTTAAACAACAGTAATGATCTCTCTTTCCTAAATCTTGACATGGCTGGATGAGAATACCTGTTTTGAATACTGCATAATGCCTTGTTTCTCCCTTTTGAATAGGAAACTCCGCTGTACAAGGAATTACATCCATATACAGCTTTTTGCTTCTTTCATCTTAAGGGTGACTGCAAACTTTATCAAAGATCCTATACTGTCAGAGGACACGGATGATGCTGTGTACTGTGAATTACACACAGTAAGGAAGTAGAAATATATATAGCTACCCAGTTCAATAAAGCATTAAAAAAGCTAATTAAGAATGAAAATGGAAAAAAATAGCTTTTATTGCTTTTAAACTCAGAGAAAGCGTATTGCAAAATTGCTTATTCTGGTACCTTTCTCTTGTTTAAATAAGTTGCTAGCTTTTAAAGTGGCACAAGTTGTGTTTAATTTGCCTTTGATTTTGTGACAGCAACAACTTGATTAAAATGATCAGCATAGTTCAATTAGCCATATAAGCTCAGAGCAGAAATATAGGGCACATGTATTTGTATACAGTTTTGATTAATTCATAGTTAATATCAGACTGAAGAAAATGACATGTGTCCATCTAGAAAAGCTAAGGTAGCAAGATCTAACAGTACTTGCTAAGGTCTGTTCCCTGCAAGAGATCAGATATTTGGTCTACTAATCTTGATTAACTTTAGAAGAAACCGAAGTAGAAGCAGTTTTACTACTCAAAGGATTCTGGGATTGTTGCCTGATGAAAATGCTACCCTAGCCCATGTAAAAATAAAAATCCCATATTAAGGACTGTTAGGAAAGGAACTGAAAAGGATGTAATATTCATCCAGTATGAGGACATTTGGAACACGCTGGTGGTGGTTTTCATATTTCAGCAGAATTATGATTTGCTTTTATATTTCTGCTATGACAACAGAATGTCACTGTGTAGATCAGGGGTGTCAAACTGCCGGCTCGCGGGCTGGATGCATCATAGCGAAACTGTGTCCACCCCATTGCCGGCAATGGCAAAAAAGTCACAATACGTCGCGACACATCACGTGACATTGCCAGTTTGATACCCCTGGTGTAGGTGGTCGAATCTAGCATGGTTCTTCTAAGGCAGGGATGTCAAACTGCTGGCCCGCAGGCCGGATGCATCCCAGCCACCCCAGCTCTGGCAAGGGGAAAAAAATCATGACACGTGACATGGCGAGTTTGACACCCCTGTTCTAAAGTATTGAAACCAAGGAACTGATAGACCACTGATAAATAAGGCGCAATGGGTCAAAGGTTCTCTGGAAAGGAGATAAAACTAAAAATAAAAAATATTTCATAATGTTTCTTGTTTCCCCTTTAGGGCAGGTGCAAGATGATCATAGCCTTTGTTAACTTCTGCATCATGGCAAATTATAGTTGGCTTCTTGTAGAAGGGCTTTATCTCCACAGCCTGCTGGCCATTTCTTTCTTCTCCGACAGAAAGTTCTTCTGGTGGTTTGTGGCTCTGGGATGGGGTAAGCATCCACTGTACTTAGTTAGCAGACAAACATGTTGTCTGGGGATGTTCAGTGACCTATTGCAGAGCCTCAATTTACTCCCCTTGCCTATTTAATGGCAGTGGTCTCTTAGTTTCCCTCTTCCCCAAGTTGCCTTTGGATCGCTTTTTTTCTCTCTTTATTTTGCCTCCTGGTTTGTTCCTTCTCCTCCTCTTCGCTTTTCTTTGTCCTGGGCTTTTTCTGTCTTCCATCTCTTTTCCTGTGCTTGGGAGGGCAAACGAAGTTTATGCCCGAGCTCCTGCCACTAACATAACTGAATATGAACCTGCAAACAGGTGGACCATTCCCTCCAAATATGGCGCTCTGCAGGAATGTTGGATTCAAATTCCCCTCCCCTCCACTCAGCCCCGTTAGTCTTTGTGCAATACTCAGCTGTGAAAGCAGGGGGATTGCCTTAATGGGTAAAGACATTTTGAAAGTTTGCACATTTCTGTGCGCTTCAGCCTTCTATTAGGTGTGTTGGGTCCATCCTTTTATTTTTAGGCAGATTCATTTTTTCCTTTTCATAAAGTTATTAGGGTTTGTTATTATTATTCAAAATGTTCAGCTAACCTAATCCAGCTTTTCTTCTATATTATGAGTAGGCACTAACCGCAAAATTGTTTCCTCTGCTGCAGGTGCTCCTAAGTTATTCGTAATTGCATGGGTCATAGCCAGACTATTACATGAAAATGCTGGGTAAGCACATTTTCCAAACTCAACAGTTTGTTTTCAATTCATGCTAAGGCAGGGTTGGGTCCAACTGTGATTTAACTGAACAAAGCAGAATACTGAAGTATCACAAGTTTGCAAAATGTGCCATTACAAAATGTTCTGATCCTGAAAGAAACTGCTCTTGAATATTCTGGAAGTGATATATCCTCAAAATAAGCCTGCTTTGAATTTTTCCAGAAAAGCTTCTGGATCACTCCTGGAATATTTGAAACCATATATTTTGTGGTACCTAAAATTGGCTTCAGGGTTTGAACGTTTTTCAGCAGAACTCTTTTTAAAGTTATAAAATGGCAGGGTTCATATTGGTTGGCCAAAACTAAACAAATCACATATTACGGCTTAGTGCGAACACAACAAATTATGTATGAATGTTGTCTCATCACTCCACAGAATGAGTATTAAGTGGTTTAAAATCTGTTTTGTGTGTGTGTGTGTGTGAAGTGCTCAGAGACTCTGAGAAAAGAAATTCTTCAATTAGGTTAGAGAGATGAGCCCTTAATAAAAAGCCAGCTCTTATATTCCATTTCCTGAGTATCAAATCTGCTTCTCTCTGATGGGCTCTGAGCAAGGCAGTTTGATAATTATTGTGGAAACAAACAGGAGTGCTTTATAAGATAGAGGACAAGTAGCGCTACCAAGCATGGGCTTTGCACAGTTATGCTGAACTGTCCTTTTAAACATACTTTTGTAGAAAGGAGTGGGAATTTTGTAGAAATGCAGTGGGAATATACAGACTGATAAGAAAGAAAGAAAGAAAGAAAGAAAGAAAGAAAGAAAGAAAGAAAGAAAGAAAGAAAGAAAGAAAGAAAGAAAGAAAGAAAGAAGAGGGCTCCTAAATGTTTCATGGTTGAACATTGATTTTATTTATTTACTAGCTGTTTCCGGCCACGCATTGCTGTGGTTCAGTCTGGTTAAATGGAAAAGAAAGAAAAGAGAAAGTGCACGTTTGTAATATGTTTAATTTCACAATGCTTGTGGGTATACAATATTTTTTTGTTGTTCCATTGTCTGTGCAGATATAGAGATTGTCTGAAATCGTAGCGTGTGTTGCTTTTACGTCCAACAGATGGCACTGTTTTTCACAAAAAGCATGTTTTAACCTGTCACGTGTGACATCTATATAATATAGGTATATAAAAACACACGCGTATTCGAATGCAACATTGTGTCAAAATTTCAAAGCAATCGGTGAAGAACTTTCGGAGATTTAAGATTTTGAACAAATGAACATTTACATTTTTATTTATATAGATTATGAAATGTATATGCTGTCCACCTCACAGTTCAAGGCAACTCTGCACAGCTTACAAATAGTCTACATTTGCCTAAATGCCTAGAACTCTCATTTAAGAATTCACCTTCTACAAAAAGAGTGTTCCTGTTGCTCTTTATGATGGATAATGTTCCAGTTAATCTGGTTTCAAAGTATTTTCGTATCTGTTGAATAGATATCACAGGGAGATATCTTTTCTGATGCAAGCTACTTGTCCTGTAACTCACTTTTATTAATGAAGTAAAATAACAAGGTTATTTAGTGCTAGTGATCCTATCTTCTGTTTGGATGAATCTGGCTTCCCAGGAACAAACAGTGTGCAGTGAAACATAGGCTGTTTGGCTCTATTTGGGATCCTTCTGCTGGGGTAAACAAATTCAACATTATTTAGCATTTCGTGAGAAGCTGAGATCCTATCTTCTTGCTATCAAACAAATCAACCCAGATTTTTAACCTGGGTTTTAGAGAAAGCGATACACTAAATTATAGCATGGCCCATATTTTGGCTTGACAATACACAGCATAATTTGGCAACACATTCAATGGGTAATTTAGCTACCTGGGCTAGCAGGAGACCTCAGCTGAATCAACAGACTATACAGAGTTCACTATACAGAAAACTATTCTGTGGGAACATAACATTTTCAGGAGTTTTTTGCATTATAATTACAGGTATAGCAGTTATTATTTGCATTTCTTAGGATGACAAAATGCAAAACCAGCTATTTTATTCTCTTTTAGCAAAAATGCCAGTTCCCTTAAAACATGAGTTATACATTTATTTTGTGCTTTCGAGTCAGTGCAGACTCCAGGCAATTGCTTGGACAAGTCCCTACAATTTTCTTGGCAAGGTTTTTCAAAAATGATTTGCCTTTTGCCTCTTTCCTAGGGTTGTGAAAGAGGGACTGGCCCACGTTGGCCCAGCTGGCTTTGTGCCTAAAAAATGTGAGACAAGAAGTCATTGTTATCCATTAGATGCCTTAACTGCTACACTAAACTGCCTCTTAAAACATGATCACAGTACTGCAATGCATGCCATTAAGCTTTTGGACTTTGAGAATTTTCCATCCAACAGGGCGAGGTTTGCAATGCTCAGATTCAAAGGGGACTGCAGTCCAGTATTAGATTCAGAAATTAGGAATTGAATTGAATGTAGCAAATGAAATAAAAGAAATTGCATTTGAGCAAGCCCTTCAAAGTTTTTTTTCCCCAAGAGCCTTTCTAGCGTAAGTTTTTTACAATCAAATCAGGACAGGTAATTTACCTTTTTTAGGGCTTGAAAAAGTTTGTAAAACAATCTCTTGGGAGAATGTGGTATAGGTTGTTGGACAGAAGAGCTATTCATAAAGAATTTTCCTCTGTTCTCACAACAGTCCCATAAGGTACAATAAAGGAGAGTGGCATCATGTGGAAAAAAGATATGAATCAAATCTTTTCAGCAGAAATCCAATTACAAAAAAAAAAAAAAAACTGGGTGAGAGAGATTTATGAATTGGTTTCATTGATAAGTACTGTACTTTGCTTGATGATAAAATTCTGCCACTGGTGTTTCATTACTCTGGCCACACAGAAAACATATTCTGGTGTCACAACTATCATGGGGTTGGTCTCAACTACAGTTTGGTCTCAATTAATGCTGATCATGAATAATACAAAATTGTTGCATTATTCGAATTCACACTATCCAAAGTGATATTTCTATGGAAAATAAGTTAATTGGTTCCAGCTTAACCTTACCAAAATAGGGTAACAAACATAAACAAAATTACTACATATCATTCCTATCCATGGACAAAAGTCAAGCTAGAGCATAAGCTCATATCTAAAGTGTACCTGCTATCTCCTATATTCTGCTCTGGTTCTCCAAAATGAGCCCCCCCTTTTTTTTGACCTTTCTCCAAACAGAACCTCTCCTTTTCTTGTTGTGTAATTAGTTGTACACAACAACTAGCATCAAAACCCCCAATGGCGATGGTGTGCACACCAGGCTCACATTAACTGAATTTTGACTTTCATTAAACACAACCTGGTATCAATTGACAATTTGCACTAAAATTGAACATTGCACTATTTGAATTCACACTAATGTGAATTCACACTAATTCACACTGTGTGAATCCGCCTTTAGATCTGCCAAAAAAAACCAGAAAAGGGAAAAGCTTGTGTAATGACTTCTTGCTTTGCTGCGTCATTGCAGCTTCTTGAGTTCATCTGAACTTTCCAGCTCTTCCTGAGAACCGAGCTCTCTAATCCAAGCTTTCTAATCCTGTCTCACCCTCCCAATGTACCCTCTTGAGTGTTCTAATACAGGGCTTTTCAACCTTTTCACCTATTGTACCACTTTTAGGATATGGTAATATCCGAGTACCACCAGTCACCTAGCAAGGTGTCAAAAACTTGATGACAAAAAAAAGGAAAAAAGTGATGAAGTACAGGTAGTCCTCGACTTACAACAGTTCATTTAGTGACTGTTCGAAGTTACAATGGCACTGAAAAAAATGCCCCCCAAGCCACAGCCGAGCAATCTCTTGTCCGAGGTTTTCATTGTTGTGAGCATTTCTGTTGAGGATTGGCAGCGGGGGTGGGGGGTGTTTGGTTTTTATTCCCCCCGTCTGCTGGGTGGTTGCAGCAGGTTTCGGTCACTTCACGTGATCCTGGGATACTGTGACCGTCATAAATATGAATCAGTTGTGAAGCATCTGAATGTAAATCACAAGACCCTGGAGATGCTGCAACATTCCAGCTGATTGGTGCTTCTTCTGGGCTCAGCAGAAGCACCAGGATCAGCGCCGAGCTCCAGCTGGAGCCTGGAGCTGATCCTGGCACTTCCATTGAGCCCTGACAGCCCTGCAGCTCCTGCCATCTCTCGGTCAGGTTTGTGTGGTGCTGCCACCACTTCAGCTCATTCCCCTCCCCTCCTACCACTTTTCTTGGATGGTCGCGTACCACCTGCCAGGTGCCAATGTACCACAGATGGTACCCGTACCACTGGTTGAAAAGCCTTGTTCTAATAATTACATCTGCCTGTTGTAATTTCTATAATGTGATAGATGGTAAGAAGCACCTGATGGATATACAGTATACTTCCATTAAATATTTCTTTCAGGACAAAATTTTCTAGTACATCCATCCATAGGTTTTCTAAATGAGAGTTTTTTATTCATTCGACAATTGTAGGTTTGTTTGTTTGTTGTTTTTACAGATGCTGGGATATGCATCTTACATATGCCCTGTGGCTCATTCAAGGTCCTGTGGTGGTTTCTATTGCAGTAAGTCTATTTTACAGCTAATTTCCCAGATAAACTCTCATCTATTTCCCCACTACTAAGTTATAGCAATATCTGTTGTGGTCCTGAGATTATTTATTTATTTATTTATGAGACTTATATACCGCTTTAAGTGCAAGCACTCTCTGAGCGGTGTACACCAGTAAGCAATGTATATATATATATATTTACATTGCCCCCAACAATCTGGGTCCTCATTTTACCTACCCCGGAAGGATGGAAGGCTGAGTCAACCTTATTATTAGTGCTATCTAGGATAAAGCTTGCATGCTGAGAGATGGCTGGGTGATTCTAGAACAGGGGTCCCCAACCTTGGCAACTTTAAGACTTGTGGACTTCAACTCCCAGAATCCTCAGCCAGCTTTGGGAGTTGAAGTCCACAAGTCTTAAAAGTTGCCAAGGTTGGAGACCCCTGTCCTAGAAGATGTAATAAAAACCTGGTGGAGGAATGGGGTGAGTGTAGTAAAGAACTACCTCCATCTCACTTGTGCTTCCTTGTTTTGTAGGTCAATTTCATTCTATTTGTTAATATTGTGCGGATTCTGATGAACAAACTTCGATGGCCAGATGGAAGAGGCAAAGACTCCAGCCAATACAAGTAAGGAAGCCTCTTTAACCAGCCTCACAAATAAACGCAACAATAACAAAAAATGACCAGAGGGCCAAGGTTTTCTTTGTTTGCATGTCATGGATCGGTCTAGGGAAGCTGCCTCAAGGATAATTACCCCATTACAGGGAAAGGTACTAAACCTATCTATGTTTCTATTTAAGGCACCTGTTTTTATGCTCACTTATGTTATTAGGAGCAGAGAGAAAAAGAGGATACGGAGTTCCAGCTATGTCAGAGAAAACCTCAACTCTTGCTATAGGAGGTTAAAAGTCAAGTGTGCATCATAATACTGTAGGAGGGATGAACCCATCTTAACGACATCTTTGGGGGAAACAGGAAAAGAGGTTATTCAGGAAAGACAGGGTTTCCATAACTGATAATTTGATCATCAGAAACATGTAAAACAGGAGAGCAAATTTTGAGAGGCAAATCCCTATTATATCTAGAGTTATCTTGTGGCTGCCCAGAGTTATCCTGTGGTAAGATGAGTGGTCAATAAATTTACATACATACATACATACATACATACATACATACATACATTGCACATTTGGGCAATCCTTCTGCAGTCACCCACAGGACAGGTTTCTCAGCCATGCATTATCCTGATGTACTGTATTGGGCTACCATTCCCATCAGCATGGGCACTGGCCATGTCATTTAAGTGGCAACCGTACACATTGGGATGGTCCTCTGCTAGCATAGACCCAGTGCTTTTTTTCTAAAAAAAAAAAAAAAAAAGGTTCCAGAACTCACACACGTCATACAACCCGCCTTGCCTACCCTACAAGGTTCCATCCAAAAAAGGTGCCGGAACTCCGTTCTGGGCGTTCTATGAGGAAAAAAAGCCCTGCATAGACTTATCTGTATCCCAAAGCCAACATTAAACTAGCCCTCTTTTTGTTGTTGTTGTTGTTGTTGTTGTCATTCTCTCTTTCCTTGCTGCTAGGAGGCTTGCTAAATCAACACTGGTGCTCATCCCTCTCTTTGGAGTCCATTACATTATTTTTGCTTTTTTCCCTTTTGATACCACAAATGGCACCATGGAGGTTCAAGCTCTGCTTGAAAAAGCCCTAGGATCTTTCCAGGTAAGAGGGGTATATAGATCCTCTGGTGAAAAATTCCTTAGATATTTAAATTAGGATCTCAGAAAATGCACGTTAAGCACAAAGATAGTGAAACCACCTTCCCCAAGTTGGTAACTCTTAGATATGTTATGATTACAACTTCTAGAACGGTGTATGTTTGGGGGAGGCTGGCCTACCGTCTTTACAAATTCACGCTCAAGTTAGTACTGATATAACTCCTATCTTCTGTACGTTATTTTATGCTGTTTTTGTTTCAAAGCTCCTTAAATGATTATCAGCATAACTGGCAAAGGCATTTTTGTAAGCAGAACACGGGGGATACTGCAAACCTTCAGCAGGTTCAACCTAAACATCTCCTCATCAGCCTTGATCTTTGGAAGCATCTAAGCTGCAAAGAAATCTCCATTAACCATGTGCATCACAGTTCAGTGTGATTTTTTTTTTTCTTAAATGACATTCCACCTTCCTTCTGGAATGGCAGTCTGCCATATGCTATTGTGTATTTCATAATGAATAATTTGCTTGTTTTGTTTCAGGGTTTGGCTGTGGCTGTGCTTTACTGTTTTCTTAATGGAGAGGTGAGCTTCCCATGGACTGAGATTTAGTCATGAACCCTGCTGGATAAGATCAAACGTTTGTCTAACCCAGCATCCTGTTTCCCATGGCAGCCCACCAAATGCAGGACTGGAGAACAATAGCACTTTTCATCATCAACTAGCACTCAGGAGCATGCTATTTCTGCTACTGAGATACATGTAATATGTAGCCTTTCCAGCTACAGTAATAGTCAGTGATAGCTTCACTCTATGTAGTTTTGAACATTTTATTCTTATCTGTTCATCATCCTCACAAAAGGAGAACATGCAGCAAAGCTACTAATCTGTATATAGGGCAGTAAGAGGAAAGAATCCTTATGAATCTAGTTTAAGTCCTTTTTCACTCATGGCACTAAATCGTGGGTTACCAACCTAGTGTCCATGGACATCGGTGTGCCTCTTGGACTCTATGTTTTACCTAGTTTTTATTTTATTGATTTTGGTCCTTTTAATAAACAGAATAAATGGGAGACTAGTTCTGTATATTGCAAACTAAAGCGTCCATCTCAAACATCAGCTTTATTTTATTTTCAACTTTCACACGTATCCCAAAACAACTTTAGAAAATAAAATCAGTCAGAGATAGAGAGAGTCCACTTGCCCAAGAAAAAGAAACACATGGAAATAATGGTGATCTTAAGGAGGCAGAGATGGCAGTTCATGGAGCATTCGGTTTCTTCTTGGTCATAGAGTTACTATTGTTCCCGCCACCAAAGTCATTTTGTGAAAATGCCCTAAGATGCTTTCAAAATTCCAGATAGCCCAGCAGAGTTCAGGACTTTTGTGGGGGTTTTATGTGTGTGTGTTTTTTTTAATGTGTTTTCTGTCTTCTGAAAACTTGTTGAGTTTCCCTTCTAGTTGAAAAAAAAAAGTGATACCGCTGCTCTTTAGGACAATAGGAATACATAACTAATGCTTTTTCAAAGGCCATCTTTCTTAGCGGACTCCACTGCAGGCTACTCACATTCTTTACAGGTAGTCCTCGACTTACAACAGTTCATTTAGTGACCATTCAAAGTCAGGGCAGCACTGAAAAAAGTGACTTATGAACATTTTTCACAGTCACGACCCTTATGGCATCCCCACGATCATGTGATCAAAATTCATATGCTTCATACTTATGACAGTTGCTGTGTCCCAGGATCATGTGATCCCCTTTTGCCATCTTCTGACAAGCAAAGCCAATGAAGAAGCCAGATTCACTTAACAACCGCGTTATCAACTTATCAACTACAGTGATTCACTTAATAATTGTGGCAAAGAAGGTTGTAAAATGGGGCAAAACTCCCTTAACAAATGTCTCACTCAACAACAGAAATCTGGGGCTCAACTGTAGTCGTAAGTCGAGGACCACCTGTGTACGGATCTGCCCTTTCTTCCAGATGCAAATCGGATGGAAGGGCTTTTATACAAGCTGGGCTCTCTCTCTTTTCTTTTTTCTCCTTTCTTGTGTTGCCCCTCCTTAAAGTGCTTTATAAGTGATTGTCATTCAGGTGGAAGGGAAAGAAACTTTTTCTCAAACCTGAAGAATATTTAGGTATAGTAACTGTGATTGGGATATGGATTTAGGCACCAGTTTTTGCTGTACAGGCATCTCCCCTGCTGACTGCTGTCTCTCGAGGAAGAAATTGGGGTGTGTGTGGGGGGGACTATTTCTATAGAAATCTTTCAAATTAGGAAGCCGAGAATCGAGGGAGTCACTGTGGGGGCTTCCACAGAGCCTTCGGCCTGCCCTTGCAAGCAGCTCCAGGCTACGTTCTCAGAGCAGCCTTTGTGCTAGGTGGCTTTGCTGATTTAATTCCAGCCATCGACAGCACAAGAGAAATGATCAAATCATCCCTGAAACTCCTGGGGGTGTGTGTGCTTGGGAACACTTTGTTTTCTCATTTGCTGGGGTTCTTGCTTCATACCCCCTCTTAAAACCAGAACTTGGAGCGATCTGGCTGAATTGTCAGACTGTCTTACTAGCCTAGGGGTAGGCAACCTTGGCTCTTTTATGACTCGTGGACTTCAACTCCCAGAATTCCTGAGCCAGCATAGCTGGCTCAGGAATTCTGGGAGTTGAAGTCCACGAGTCATAAAAGAGCCAAGGTTGCCTACCCCTGTACTAGGCCATGTGTCTTACCAGGGAACCTAAGGGAAGCAGGGAAGAAAAGAGGAAGATTGGAATTAGGGGAAAATTCTGAAGAGATTTTCCTAGAAGACTTTAAGTACATAATTTGCTTTGTCTTTCTCCATCCAGGTTAGTCTTGAACTTTGTTTTTTTCTGGGTACGTCTGGGTGGAGAAAGAATATTGTGTAGAACAGGAAGAAGCAGACTAGTCAGGCTTCAGGAGATGAAAGTAAAAAAATATAGAGATGGCCTTGAAAGGTATGCCACAACCATGGTAAAAAGATCAGCCCAGAAAATCAAAAGAGGTTGGGAAAGAAACTCAAGATTGCCCTGCATTGACACCCTTGGGTATAAGAGGAAAGGAGAGAGAAACTCTTTTAGGTTTTTAAGATTCTTTTATACCCTAAAAAAGTGAAGGACAGTTCCAGCAATTCTAGTGGTGTCTGTTCCCTGACATGGTCTACCTAGCAATCTTTTTCTGAATATATCTACTGTAAATATTACTAAAACTCTCCTGTTTGTAACCCTCCCTTGAGTGGAACTGGAAGATATTGGGCAACAATTATTGCACCAAGCTAACTGAAATGGACTAACTGACAAAATGCAGGACCCAGGACTCCTGTACAAATGACCTTTGGGAAAGTTGTGCCATTTTAGCACCACCATGCCTTCTGACTAGAATTCCCAGAAACCTGCAGGTTATGTGCTGCAAGGGAAGATGGGAGGGCCATGTTCCTGATCCTCTTTGCCACCCCCTCTGGTTCCCACAGCCAATTGGCTGACAGTAAGTCCCAATAAATAAGCAGCAGCAATTGGTTGCTTTGGAACCGAGGCTGAAATCTGAAATCTCTTAACAATGGTGGACAATATGGGATGGGTGAGGGAGCAATTCGGATGCCTCAGCAAGTAGGACTGTCTGGGGGTCTCCAGCAGTTGATGGGTGAGCCCTCTTCCCAAGGGCAAGGAGGCCCCTTGGAACAGGATGGGAAGCAAGGGTGCAGTTTTTCTAGCAATTGACAATTCTCTTTATTCCTTCCCCCCCACACACACACAAATGTGGCAGTCAGTTCCAAGGGTCAGCTAAGGAAGAAGAGGAGGAATGATTTGAGATACCCCTTCCAGCTTCCCACAAGCAACATCAATGTGGAAGCCAGCAGGAAGTTGGAAGTTGCTCCCATCCCCATTGTTGTTGTTGTTTTGCCACCCATGGTCATTCTATCTTTGCTTAAATAAGGAAGTATCTTTGAAAGGATGATCTAATGGATCACGAGTTGTCAAGTCTTTAAAATCTTTACAATACAGTGCCATTTGTCTTGTTATCTCAGTCCATTCTTCTTCTTGTTTCTTCACATTTGTCCATTTATTGGCCTTTCCAATCTTCCTTTCCCCTTGTTTTCTCCTTTTCTACTTGCATACCCATGAGACTAAAATTAATTGTCTCTGCCCACATTTTGGCTTTGTTTCCTTCCTCTGCAGGCAAGTAGTGGCTGACCACATATCATCAGGGCAGAATATTGCTTGGGAGTGATTTATCTTTGTTACTGACTGCAAAGGTTGAACCCACATGGTGAACAGGGAGAGGGCATCCTCTTTCTCTCAAGAAAATCATGAACCTTCTTACTAAACTCAAACTTTTTGTTCAGGTCCGGCAGGAGCTTCACAGAAAATGGTGGCAATGGCACTTAAAGAAGCATCTTGGTACTCATAAGCATCACAGCTCTTCGTTTCCAAATGAAGTAAGTGTGCTCACTCAAGTCTTGCAACTGACAAAGCCTGGTCCTCAGGAGGAAAGACGACCTTCTCACCCAATTCTGAGTAAATTGTAAAGGTTTCCAGGGCAGACAAGAACATGCTTATTACTCAGAGGAATCTAGAAACTTGCATTACCTAATTGGGCATTGTGGTTCAGGACTTAAAAGCTAGTTGTTAACAATACCTGGAGTCTGACTTAGGCTATGGCCCAAACCTTGCTATCATATGGATTATTTTGCAAAGAAGATATGTGAAAAGTAATTTCCAAATGAAAAGCTCATCCCTCCTAACTTGCTGATTTTGTTCTTTGGAATCTTATCATTTCAAAAGAGTATACCCTCTCTTATCTGTTTGGTTCCTTATTGAAGTATGGATTCTGAACAATATTGTCATTTGGACATATGACTCTGACTTATAAACTGGTTATATATCTTTGGAAAATGTTGCATTGTGTGAATATGATAGAGTGTATGTTTTCTGGCAAAGAGAAATGATATCTCTTTGGTATGAAGCCCTTTCCCACAATTGTTCAAAGGATTTTATTAGGCGCTATATACGAATTTGCTGTTTAGGAGTCTTGGAATTCAGTTGCCACAAAGACCTTTAGTACTTTCTCTCTGAGAGCTGATTGTGACTCTGTCTGACTTGGGGCTGCCACCTGGAAGCCAGGTATAAACAATCCACTTGAGGAGAGACTGCTATGTATCTTCAATTCATCTAAGACAGAAGCTGGATTAGGAAGATAACATATCTCAATAATAAGAAAAGGTTGCTTCTCTCTTTGATCAGTTTCCAACCATTGTTTCTTGTCCTGCTCTCTGGTGCTTTGGTGAATAATGTGACCCCCTCTTTTTTGTGGCAGCCCCTCAAATACTGGAATACTGCTATCATGTCTTCCCTATTCTTTTCTTTAGACTAGCCAAACTCAAGTACTGCAGCTGTTCTTCATATGTTTTAGTCTCCAGGCCTTGGATCATCTTAGTTGCTCTTCTCTGAACTTTTTCCAAGGTCTCAACAACTTTTTTGTAGTATGGTGACCAAAACTGGTTGCAATATTCCAGGTGTGGTCTTACTAGGGTTTTATAAAGCGGTACTAATACTTCACATGATCTTGATTCTATGCCTCTGTTTATGCAACCCAGGATTGTATTAGTTTTTTGGGCTGCTGCTGCACAACGCTGGCTCATAGTCAAGTGATCGTCCACTAGGACTCCAAGGTCCCTCTTACTGTTACTGTTTTTGAGCCAGGTCTCACCTAATCTGTATTTATATACTTGATTTTTCCTGCCTAAATGTAAAACTTTGCTTTTCTCCACATTGAAACTTATTTTGTTGGATAGGGCCCATTGTTCCAGTTTGTCAAGATATTTTTGAATCCTGAGCTTGTCTTCTGGGGTGTTGGCTATTCCTGCCAGTTTAGTGTCATCTGCAAATTTGATGAGTTCCCCTTCTATTCCCTTTGTATGTATTCACTCAGTAAATACATACAAATAAATCAACCCCCATTCTCCCGTAGTTTAATGCCCAAATATAATGTCAACAGTTCTGACAACTATGACCCAAGACCCTCTACTAAGGATCTCAAGTAACTTAAAACAGAAAGGACACATTTTTTTAAAAAATGTACAAGCAAAATGGGAACACTGTCAAAACTTACTCTGGGCTTTTCTCCTCAAAGTACCTGCACGAGCTCTGAATGGAGAATTGCTATATATAGCAAACATAACTGTGTTGTGTAGCCTTATAACTCTCAATTATAAATATACTATATGATATACCGGCATATCACTTTTAGTGACTCCTAAAAGTGATATACCGGTATTTATTTCTTGTGCAACACCAATGAAATCAATGGGCGGGGGGGAAGAGGGGGAAATCACACAAATTAATTTGTCATTTTAAGATGCTGCCAAGTTTGAGAACCAGTCCTTTGAGGCAGCTGATTCATCCATCCATCCATCCATCCATCCATCCATCCATTCATCCATTCTTAAAGCATGAAAACTAGCTTGGTGACTTTGAGCTAGCCACTCTCTCTTTCAGCCTAATGCTCTTCACAGGGCTGTTGTAGGGAAAATAGGAGGAAGTAGTAGTGTTGTGTGGGTTGGTCATCTTAAGATATTTATAAAAATAATAAAGGCGGGAAATAAATTTATCTCCCAGAATAGCTCTGGCTATCTGTTCTTGTGTCACAGGATCTTTATGATGCCCCTATCTTTGCTGGCTTGGCTGCAAGATTATTAGTGGCTTTAGGCTCTGTTAATCTTTTTGGATCCTAACTGGAATGTCATGTACCATTGTTTTGTTGTTAGAATGTTAGGTTAGCATACTTGGCTACCTGAACAGAAATTCAAAGTAAAACAACTTGTTTGTTAGCTCCAGGTGAGAGATCAGTAAACAGACCCCAGGATAGGAAAGGGGAAGGGCTGTTACATATTTTCCCAGCATGCTTAAATGGTTCTCTGTCCTGATAATAATATGGAGCTCCTGGACTAATTAAAATTAGGGTTTTTCTTAATTCAACCTGGTCATTCTTAAGCTTTGCCTTGTATCAAACTTTGAACTAATGGTAAGAAGCATTATCTATGTCAGTTTAGTTCCGGCTATGCTTCCATCTTGTGTGCTCACCTTCTCTCCACCCACCCACCCCCTTTTGTGAGTGTGTGCATATAAAAGTGCATACCTTAATATGCACACTTGGAGACAAAAAGTCTGAGAGTGCTAAATAGCTATTAATATCAATATTCCATACGTCATTTTTGACATGACTCTGATTTATTTTGAAGCTATCCTTATGGCCATTTGTTTAGTGACTGTTTGAAGTTACGACAGTACTGAAAAAAGTGACTCACAACCAGTCATCACACTTACAACCGTCACTGTCCCCATGATCACATGATCGCAGTCCAAGCATTTTACAAATGGCTCACATTAACAACAGTTGCAGCATTTTGGTGGTGTGTGTGTGTGAGAGAGATGCATGATTGCCATCTGCAACCTTCCCAGATGAATTCCAACGAAGTGAAGGGGGAAACTGGCAAGGAAGATCCCAAATTGCAATCATGTAATGTCTTGTTCAAAATCAGGTGCAATCACGTGATACCTCACTTAATAACTGCATCACTTAATGACAAATATTCCAATCCCTATTGTGGTTGTAAGTTGAGTGCTATCTATACTGAGTGAATTATTATGATTTACAAGCTCAAGCTAAATAATTACTATCTGAAAAGCATGTCTTGGCTGGATTTGATCAACGCATAACATATCTTGCCCTCAAACCCTTAACTTCATGCCATTCAAGATACTGAATTTCTATTAGGCACGAATAAAGGCAGCACCCTCCAGCAATGATTTATCCCTGAAAGGTAAATATCTCCACCATGTGGTATACCTGGATCGCTATTATTTTTTTTGAATGTCAGTCCTTGCTTGTGGGATCATCCCATTCAACAATTACGTACCATGCAAAGCTGAAAGCAGCAAAATATGGCAGTTGTTTCTATAATCTTAGCTTTATTTTTAAAAAAATCATCTAGTCATTCTAGGTTTAGAAAAAAGTCAGGATACACTTTGGATAAATACCTCATTAGGAAGCATTTTAACTTTAATAGTCTAATGCAGAGGTCCCCAGCCTTTTGGGCATCAGGGACTGGTTCCGTGGAGAGAGGATTTTTCACGCACCGGAGAGTGTATGATTTTGTGTGCTGCCTGCATCTTGCGGATGGGGCTTTGCTTGTTCGTGCGGCCCAGTTGTTGGCATGCCGTAGCCCAGTGCTGGTCCACGGACCAGAGGTTGGGGACCCTGGTCTAATGATCAAGCACATTGCATCTCATTTCTGCACACTATCAATGTAATGAATGTCTGCTCAAAATTCTTAAGTTACTTCCCTTTTTCAATTTTGGAAGGTTTGTGCAGCAAAGACGTTACCAGTTAAAACCTATTTTACAAACATTTTTAAAGATCAAATTCTGATTTCTATGAGAATCTTTTCCAGTTCCTTTTCTGTATCATTTAGTGCAAATACTGGGGTGTATGTGTATGCATATACATTCACATGCATTTGCTATATGTCTTCCATCTGTGACACAAATGAGCAGAATTATCCATTTTAAAAAAGTAGTTTATTGAACATTTGACAATCTGATCCTGGATATCTTCCGATTTTCTTTTATAGTTTGTAGAAAAGAGTTTAGAAAAGTCCACAAGTTATAACTTACTTAGTAAAACAATTATTAAAGATAAAGAGCACCTAAACAAACATTCTCTGGCATTTAGTGGCAAATGGCCTTTAATAGGACAAAAAAAAAAAAAGAGTCAACAGTAAATAGTATTTACAATTCTTTTAGCTCAAAGTTGATCTCTAATGTACTGCAGCTAGATAGTTTTAAAGGCCTAATTTAATCAGAACCATCATTGTTGAAAGGCAAAGATGATAGTCATTCATTTAGCCCATGAGAAGAGAGTGTTCCACCTTCTGAATATGAATTGAAATTCCAGGCAAAGGATGGAATAACCAGTGCAAGAAAAATTAAACAATACAACACCAAAGACAGACACTGGCAGTATATCATGCAAGAAATCTGGAAGAATTCCACATCTGTTGTAGTGAAGGCCAACCATTTTGAAAGGTCCAGAGAGATTTATGTTCAGTTCTTTAGCACATTACTTTTTTTTTTTCAAGACAACTTCAAATTTCTTCACCAGAGAATTGGGAAAACTGTTGAATGAAATCAGCAAGGTAATAGACCTCTAGACAAGCAACAATAGAGAATTAGTGCTCTAAACTGGGAAAAACAAACTATTGATTTTACAAAATATTCTCAACGTGAAAACATCGAAAATCCAATCAAGCAAATGTATCTTTCTTCAGGTTCATACAATTTAATTTATACAGACTACAAAACAATACAGGTAGATATGATTTGCTAATTGCAGGTCACCCCTCACCCTGGGAAAGATCTGGAGATGCTTCATAGTAGTAATGTATCATGTTCTTCAACTGTGCAAAGTCTAACTGTTCATAAGAGGTAATAATAAAAATGCAAGTTGAATGACATGCCAAGATCTTCCTAAAGGACAATCTTTTTTTGGTCATGGTAAACATATAAAAGTATATACTATTAACTTGGCTTGTGAATCTACTGTTCCTATCATAACCTGTCAAGTTAATTATTAAGTACACTCTTTCTATTTGGGGTCCTTTTTAATATATTGCACTACAACTCCCATTGCCCAAAGCAGTCTATGCAAGACTAGCTGGGGTTAGGCATTTAATATGACCCCACCAGATTTGCAGAAGCTTGTCTAGACTGCCAACATACTGGCTTTTTATTTCCAAGTAAATGGCTTGGAAAAATCTTCAAAGGTTTTAGAGAAAAACGTAGAATAATTAGAGCATTCCTAAATAATCTTACAGCCAGCTGTAAAAACACAAATATAAATAAGAATTAGAGAACCTAGAATTCAATCAAGCATGCAGCTTTATTGAAATAACACTGGTTCTCTCAAAAATGATGGTTCAGTGCAGTGTTTTCACAGACAATTTGATATCTGTGCATTTCTTAGGCTGATTTTTGTTGCTGTTGACAATAATCAACAATTTGGACTGATAATATGGGATATTTAGAAGTAGAAAGTTCATAGGGATGGAGTCAAACATTTATAATTTTAAAAATAACTGACACGAGTTTATGGAACTTAATGTATTATTGTTATAGTAAAATATTGTGAAACTACATATACAGAGGACACAAGTTGTTACTGAACAATAGAGAACTAAGGCTCTAAACCAGGGGTTCTCAACCTTGACAACTTTAAGACTTGTGGACTTCAACTCCCAGAATTCCTCAGCCAGTTGAAGTCCACAAGTCTTAAAGTTGCCAAGGTTGAGAACCCCTGCTCTAAATGTACACCAAATCTGATTTACAATTTATTTCATTCATATCATAGGGAAGTCTTTCATTCATACCATAGGGAAGTCTTGAAATCATACAAGCTATATGTCAAAAAAGGTGTATAGGAGCCTCCTTCCACTTTTACCAGTATATATGTGCAAGTAATGGTCTGATCCTATATTCTTAGCTAAGAATGTACTTTTAACAAGGATTAAAAACTTACTTTTCTGTAATTTTGAAAAGCAGGAAGTAAATTGAACAGGGCATTTTGTGTTACAAACTCTTGTGTTACAAACTCCATGAAAAATTATTTCTAGCTCACAAGGAGGGGCCAAGTCTCCACTGTCATTCATTAAATTGTAATAGCCCAGGCCTCTTTTTAACAGATGTTGCTTCTCAGCAATAAAGGATCTTACTTTGGTAGAAAATGCATATACTGCTGGCATGGCTTATAAATATCATATATTTGCCAGAGAATATATGATAAAAGCACTACTTTTAATCGTGGCTTATATATGATAATGTGAAAAGGCAAGTTACTGAATTTGTGTTTATTAGAAAGTGAGGTTCTAGTTGGTACTGCCCTTTGTCCTCCATAGTACAAATATTTCTGGTGATCCAAATTACTCGTATGAAGAACACAATCATGAAAATGCAGGGTATGAACAAAGCCCATTCACAGAGCATGTCTTATTCTACTTGGCTATAGAATTTGGCCCCCACCCCCAACCCAAATAAAAATAATGTGATTGGTTGTCTTACTCATTTCAGTGAGACACTTAAAAGATAATGACTGTAATTGGACTAAGGATGTTGAGGCTTAGGAACTGAGTTTTAAATTAAGCAAGATATCTTTGCTATTCCATTACTATAGCTAGATGCATTATTTAAAATCCCAACAGGTTATAATTTCCCATTTCCAGTACTCAGCATCCATTATCAACTTAATTTGGAGACATCCTCTAGAAACTGGCAAGCTGTTGGAAATCTTTTATGCCATATATATATATATATATATATATATATATATATATATATATATAATAAACAATTCCCCTTTCTTGAACGTTAATGAGCTGCAATATATTCTCGGGATATTTGGTTGAGCTGCTGTTCATCATGTTTAATTTTTCTCACTCTGCTCCATGGCAATGTTAGGTTGTTAAGGTGAAGTCCACTGATTCCATTAAGGAAGAAAAGGAACGTTGCAATAAATTCACACCAATAGGTTAACGTAAAACTTAGGATAGTGATGTAGTCCCTCAGAAGGATTAAGAAGCTCACCATTCCAGCTGATGACAGTAGAAATGAGGCAAGAATGAGGATGGAGCCCATGGACCATTTTCTCCTTGAGTTGATATCTTCGCAGACTTGAGAGACCATGAGAAGTTCCAGGCCAAAGATTGCAACAACAACGGCAAAAGACAACATGCTTCTTATGAAGATCATTCCTGTGCTCATCCCTCTGATATTGGTCAAAGCGAGATCAGTGGTACATTTCAAGGTGCTGTTGCTTCCGAGGGTACAGAAATGCCAGAGCCCAAAGAGTTTTCCTTTTGTAAAAAGCCAATGGCCATCACATACTGCGATGGACAACAGAACAATGGCAATTGCAACACAGAGGATAATTAAGCTCCTGATAAAGGTCTCAAAGAATGATTTCTTTGGTCTTCTACGAGTAAGTAACCACTGGGTCTTCAGGAGAATTTCCCAAAGAAGGAACAGGAAAAAGAAAAAGAAACAAACCTTTAGTTCAGGTGAAACAGAGCGGTTTTTTTGTTAAGAGCTACACTGCCTTGGGATTATCTTTTGAAAGCCACAGTGCCTGTGATGGCTGGAACCAAGACAGAGAGTAGCTGTGCAGCCAAAATTCAAAGGGAGTCAGGCCATGTATATTCTACCAATAAAGGAGAATATTTGTAGCTCAGAGTTGGAATGAGGGGGTCCTTGGTGCTCTCTTGGTTGTTTTCCTGTAGATATTTCATTACCCAAACCAGGTAACATCACAGTGCACGGTTATGATACTTACTTTGGGTAATGAAACATCTGCAAGAAGACAACCAAGTTCAGAGAACATCGAGGATCCTATATGTATATTCACTTTCTAATGCCCTCTTTTCTCTGATTCTTTATCTTTCTATTCTTTCTTTCTCTCTGTCCCTTGGGGTGGCAGGGCACCATGCTCTTAGCAAAGATCTAAATTTCCCACTTGCTAAGTTTCTGAAAACAACAAACTGTGACTTTTGGCGTACCAATTAATATTATCAGTGAATAAATATGCTTTAAAGACCATTTATACACAGTTGATCTGAGAGTGCCTTGGGAAGAATGCATGCTGTTTAAACGATATTAATGTATTCCATGAATTCTATAGAATAAAAACCCTAGTAAATGTTCCATTAATTTTTCTATGGAAATGTAATATTTGGAAATAAAGAACATTATCTGTAATTTGTCATTGCCAAGGAAATTAAACCAAAACAGTCATTTTAACGTGACTTCCTTCTTTGAATTTTTTGTACGCACATCCTGACAGGCCAACTATTCAAAGTCTCAAGATACAACTTTCAATACCAGAGGATATAGCTAGCAGCACGCATTTTGCAAACAGAGCTGAGACTGATTCTTGACACTCAGAGGAAATCCCCCCCCACCCTACTACAAAATAGGCTTTTAAACTCTGTGTGGGTAGCACAGATCAAATCTATTTACCTAAATTAGTTGTCTTATTTTCAGGCAGGCATTTCTGATTCACACGGTTGCACTAGCTGTTTGGCTTAAGACTCTGCTACAAATATCCCAAGGAAATTTTCTAGCTCGACTCTCAGAGACTTAATCTGCCTGCCCAGTTTGGTCTGCAGAGCCTCATACAGGACCACTGCTTTCCCTCTACAACCTGGAGGAAGAATAACAGCACAGGCAAAACTGGAAAGAAGAGAGTTGGCACCATCCAACTCACTTTTGTCCGTCTGCTACTTTTCCCCACTGAAAGGGAACAACAGGAAATAACGCTGCAGGATTAAACATGTTTTGCCTTTCCTCATCACAACAATATCAAGGTTCGACTTTCACCTCTCGTGAAAATAACCTCAGTACATTCTGAGTCCCAGCAGTTTTGACTACCTCATGTATGCGCCACAAGGGTCACAGCCTTTCCACCCTGGTGTCCTCCAACTATGCATATTTATTTCACTTACAGTAGGACTTTCTTCATTTTTAATCCATAAGAGCTACCTTGTGAGGTAAGTTGAGCTCAGTGGCAGATGCAGAATCGCCCAATAGATTTCTTTGGCTAAAAATACCAGAGCCTGGATCTCTCTGGTTCTAGTCCAACAGTTTGACCACTATACTATGCTGGGTCTTGATGTTTCTTTGGCATTAAAAAGTAGTTAACCATAAAGGGACAAATATAAAGCACGAAACCATAGCCCTTGTTATAATGCATGCTGGCAGAGCCAAAGAAGCAATCCTTCATTCACTATTTTTCAATTGCTTTCCCTCATCTGCATAATACTGTATTGTACTCATTTTATAATACAGGTTTGTCCTCAACTTTCAAGCACAACTGAGCCCCAAATTTCCATTGCTAAACAAGACGGATACTTTGCCCCATTTTATGTTCTTTCTTGCCATAGTTGTTAAGTGAGTCACTGCATGTATTGATTCAGTTAGTAACAATTTGGCTTCCCCATTGACTTTGCTTGTCAGGTCGCAAAAGGGGGTCACATGACTTCAGCATGACACCGCAACCATCATGTATGCCGGTTGCCAAGCATCCAAATTTTGATCACGTGACCATGGGGCGGCTGCAATGGGTTATAAGTGTGAAAAATGGTCACTTTTTTCAGTGCTATTGTAACTTTGAACGATCACTAAACAAATGGTTCTAAGTTGGGGACTACCTGTATTTTTTATATTTGACAAGCAACAGGCAAGAAACACCTTAATTCCGAAGGGCTGTAGTCTAAGACAGGACAGGGAACAACCCCCCCCCAAAAGAAGAAAACAGAGTTAGAATAGCAAGAAAGAATAAGCATCCCCCCCCCACCTCATGCAGTTTTGCTCATAACATAGCAGTCTTGAGGCGGGGAGAAAAATCTCAAAGCTTTCAGAACAGGTGAGTTTGAGAAACTGGGTTTTGTTTTGTTTTAAATAGTTTCTGGCATCAGGGACATCAAGGGAGAATTCATTTCAAAATGTCCAGGATCAATGGAGTTGTAGAGAGTAATGGCGCTAGGTGCTGGAATATCAGCCTGGAAAGATGAAGCAATAGAAGGCTTTACAAGGCTAAGGAACCCTTGCAAGATCTATATGGATGACACTTCTGAGTCAGCTGCTCAGTAGGCAATTCACTCACTTGATCATGGATGCTCTCTTGGTGGACATTTTTGAAGTCATCCAGTTATCATATTTTTTTAAAAAGCAAATGATCACTTAAAACAACTGTGGGGATTTACTTATCCTATCCTCTTCTGCTTTTTTCTTACTTTCATCAGGGGTTTAGCTTTGAATAACTTGGGACTTATTTCCAGCTAAAATTAATTCTCTTTTTGGCATTAACATTGACTGAGGTTTATTTCCCCGTGTTATGATGTTCATATGACCCCCTAATACCTTATTTGACCCAATTAAACATGCTATGTGAACACGGGCTGAAGGAAAGATACCAGATTCTAAATCTTCACGAGCTAAATGGCTGATAGACATAGGTGAATGAAAAGAAAACAACTGAAGATCAAGAGAAACAAGCAGCAGTAATTGGCAAGCAATGACCAAACTTGCACAGAATACACACACACACACGTATGTATGTGTATGTGTGTGTGTGTATATGTGTGTGTGTGCACGCGCGTACACACACACGCACGCACACGTCAAAAAATAAGAAAAAGAGATAAAAGAGTGCATTTCACTTAGGACAAAATAGAACATAAAGAAACAATACCCACTATAGCAAAATGGGTACTTAGTAGCTCTCCAGATATTGCTCAATTAAAACTTCCCCAATTCCCAATCATCATGGTCAATTATGAAGAATGCTGGGAACTGAAGGTCAGCAATATATGGAGGACTAATGATTTATCATCCTTGCATTTAAAGGTATTGAAAACTCTAATATACATCATAAATGCTAAAGATTAGAGAAATATATCTCAAGTGAATCAGCACCATTTCTGAGAAATTTAGCTCTAAAAGTATTGACCAAGAAATATTCCCCGATTTCCTTTTCTCTGAATTGTCATTCCTGTGGCGCAATTTGTTTTGAAAATCCCTCTTGTACAAGCCTTGCTGTGTATGAGCTAGTTTTGCTGAAACATCAGTAATAACAAGCCAGTAAAAAACAGATTTGCTGATCTTTGTAAACAACTCATTGCATTCTAAGAAAAAAAGAAGGAAACTGAGCAAGTTGAGTTACTTTGCTTCTTGGATGCCCCCACCTTTTTAAAAAAAATAGAGAAAGAATATGGAGCATAACTTATTTAATTTGTTCCAAGCTACTTATCAACAATTGTTATAGGAGGCACCTGTGCTTGCTTCTGTGTAATGAAGTAACACATTCCATCTCTCTGGGTTAGTGTGATTCCTTTCTTAGTTCTTATCTGTGTTTGTGTAATGTCTGCATGAGTGTGTGTGTGTGTGCACACTCTGCTCACATGACTGTGAGAGAGAAAAGGAAAAAGGGCTTAGAATGCAATAGTTGTAATCTGTGAAAATACTCAAATGATTATCCATAAGGATGCACAGGCAGTTTGTTTTTTCCTGGACTATTTTTCTTTGCAGTCTTTGGCCAATTCTGGCCCATTTTCAAACTCCACCTTCTTTTGTTGGCTTCCCCTCTTACATTTAGTCTAACTCTGTTCAATGTTTGGACAGATATCCTCTTGATAAGCAGATAGACAAGGTCCTGAATCTCTACAGAATTTCTTTCCAACCATCTGTTGTGTTGGAAACATTTCACTTCGCTTATGCTTCTCCTCACCCCATCAGTTGGATTTGCATGTGTTTATTTGAATTCCCCTCAGATTATCAGGCGGATGCATATAGGTTGATGTGTGTGTCTCCCCCCCCTCCATGCTGCATCTGTCTTGTTTTAGAGTATGTAAGTCCTAGGAAGCATAGGGCAGGCTGTAAATGCTTCTTTCTAAACCACACAACCTTCCATCTTGAAAGAGAGGATGCCTAGTTTTGTTTGCCTTAATTGCTCTGCCCTGGGTCACGTGACTAGGAGAGGAGGTTAAGAATGGACTTTAAACAACAGCATTCTCAGCTGCCTCTCCTATAGGGACTATAGGGGATCTTTTTTCAGGAAGGTTTTCATCCAAGCAGATGTGCTTTCCTTTTTTGAAATGTATTTCTTTTGCCAGCTTCTTCCATCACACCCACCCATTTTTATCTCATTCGGTTCACTTTTGCGAGAATCACCCGACCAATGGATATGGATGGCCAGACGGTCTGAACGTAAAAATCTTCATATAATAACTAAAACTATCTGTGGAACCGGAGAGAGACAGAGAAAGAGAGAGAAAGAGTACTGGCACTCTTTACCGAAGCCCCCTCTTCAAACGCGTTTTTTTTCCCCCCAGCCCTAAAACCCTTCTCAAAGCTGTGCAACCCATTTGCCGATAGTATATCTCCGAAGGCAGATTTAAAAGTCAACTTCTGGGGAGTGGGAAGAGGACAGATTGCATGATAAAAGACTTCCAATTTTCCACTATTTGAGCGCTGGGTTAGAGAAATTCTCTGTCTAAAAGAGAAAATGCAACAGTCAGAATGTATGATTTTGGGGTGCAAGGGCTTTCTTTCTTCCCTCCCCCCGCCCGCACCCCGCGTTTCGAGAGAAAATTTACAAAGAGCAACAGGTGAGAGAGAAGTCCGCCGATCGCCCAGAGGAACCTGTAGGACGAAGAGCGAACACGTACCAAGGAGAACAAAGGACCGGCCGGCACAAAGCTTCCAGGGATGGGAACCCCCCCTCCTCCCCCTGCCCTCCCCAATCTCGCTCCCTGGTCCCAACAAGCGCCCCTTCCGCCCCCAGGACGCGGCCTTCTCCCCTGCTGCCCCCAGGTTACCTGCGCTGCTATGGCTGTCATGGTGACTCGGGCTCCTGGCGGAGGAGGAGGAAACCGGAGGGGAACTTCGCTCCGCTTTGTTCCCGGCGCTGGCGGGAAAAGTCTTCCGCCGCCCTTCCGCGCGCCCCCTTCAGAGCCAGAGGGCTCCGGGCAAGAGATGTGAGCAGAGCGGCCCCCCGGGCAACATCCCCGGGGAGGCGGGCAGGCCGGGCGGCGGAGCGCCCTTTAAGTTTTCCCTCCGGCTGAGTCAGCAGCCCAGCGGCTCCAGGAGGAGGAGGAGGAGGAGGAGGCGGAAGCGGGCAGAAGGCAAAGCAGCGGCGGGAGGGGGGGTTGCGAGTGCTCCGGGCAAACAAGGCGCGCCGGGAAGGGCCGCTGCGCCGACCTCGCGAAATTGAGGGGAGGTCGATACTTAAGCAAGACAGACCCCCCCCCTTTTCCCCGCGCGCGCTTTTTCCAAGAAGGCGGTGCTCTTTCTCTCTCTCCCCCCCCCCCCCAGCGGGACCGGACCAGTTCCTTCCTGAATCCGAGATTTGCTAGGTTCGCACCACGCTGGGCTATAAAGGGAGCGTGTTGACCCGCTGCACGGTTGCCCCAGTTTGAGTTAATATAAGGGTGGCTGCTTTGGGGTTAGCGGGTCAGTGGGTCACTCAGACGTCGAGTTTGTGCTGCGTTGTCAGTAGTTGGAATCCTTGATTACAGGCAGGAGTGGAACTCGGGAACCAGAATTAACCTGATCGCCTGAGCTTGCACAAGAGCCGGCGAGCTAATCACACGATGAGTGGGTTATGCACAATAGGCTGCCGCAAAGAAAACAAACAAAAACACTTGGGCAAAGTTAAAACTCATCAAGATTAATCCCCGATGGTTTATGCAGATACAGGCAGGATGTTGCAACGCCTGAGTAGCATCTTATTTCCTGGATCCCACTAAAGAATTGCAGGGCAGTGACAGGCGCCTACTGCTTACTTATCCTTCTTTAAAAGCAGATGAAGAAGAGGGTTAAAGGCCAAAAGAATCGAGGCTAGAATAAGTCCACAAACACCCCCCCCCCCCAGTTTTCATCTTATAGTCAGACTCAGCTGCTTGTAATCATATAATCACTGTATGTTGACTTTCTGGTGACAAAGCCAAACACTTCCAAAACAAGGAAGTCACTAATTTAAAGAGATAAGAGTTTACTGTCCATCTTGCCATCCAGTGATTTTCAGTTTTCCAGACCAGTTTTGGTAGCCCCATCCCAACTGTAGATTAATTGGAACATGTGGGAAAGTTTTTGCTTTTTAACTGTAATCAGTGACTGGGTTGTGTGAGTTTCTGAAGCACAACCCGGTTAGGTTTTTGTTTAATAAGCTGTTTTGTATAAACCCAGCCTTTCTGGTTAATTTCTGGGTTAGTGGGTTGCACAAGACAGGAAATTGGATTAATTAAAATATGATAAGGATATCACCTGCTCTGCCCTATCCTGCTGATCCAAAATACTATATTTCTTCTTGTGCTATATCTGTTATCGGATGTTGGCGATCATGTTGGCGATCCTACTTTTATCAGCAGCCGCATGAAAAAGTACTGCTGAGTTTTATCCAAACCAGTCCCTTAGATTTTGAAGCCATGATCTTCTTCTTCTGCCTGGACATCGTTTGCCTTCAATCTTTCCCTGGAGGATTAAATGGAGTATGCCATATTTTTCTGGGTGTTGCATCACATGTCTGAAATATTCTAATTTTTGTTTTTTAATTGTTTTGATGATTTCCCTTGGCTTTCCCAGGCAGCTTATCACATCCTCATTTCTGATCTTGTCAACCCAGGTTATACGTAACAGCTGCCTGTAAATCCACATTTCCAATGCTTCTAGTCTCTATAGGTGGCCTTCTGTCAGAGACCAACTCTCTACTCCATAGAGCAGGATAGAAAAAATATAACAACTGAGAAGCCTGATTTTCAATCTTAGGCTTATGTTGTGACTGCAGAAGACCTTTTTCATTTTGAAGAATGCTGTTTGAGCTTTCTCTATCCTTGTCTTTACTTCAATGGTCATGTCCCAGCTTTCATGTAAATTAGTATACCCACCCCGCAAAATTAGATAGGATAAAGACCCATCTCTCAGTCACTGCAGTACACATTGGAATGTGCTGAAGTTCATTTGATATTTTAGTAGGATGCGTGTCATTGACTCATGGCCCGAAGAAGCAAAGAAAATGCCACAAACCTAGTGTTCAATAATGATAAGAGAAATTTCTATTTTCCATTTTTATCAACTGCAGTACCATCCTGAACACTTCTTGCAACATATGTAAAGATTTACTAACAGGAAGGAGGAGTTCACCTAATAAATATATAATACATCTTCAGCCTGTGTTGTTTGAGCTCAAACTTTGATTTGTAAACTGCAGGTTATGCCTAAGCATGTTATATAAACCTAATTAATTACAATTTATTGAGTAATATGTGGCAAAATAAACCATAGCTTAGCATTATGTGTAAATCTAGCCAGTTTAATATCTGGCCTCAAATTTCACTGTTCGTGTGATTTGGGTGGTACACTGAATCATAAATTGCCTACAGTAATTGGATTCGCACCACATCTGAGTCAAAACTAATATATACTTGTAAAAGGGGAAGAAAATTTATTGTTTTTTCTTTTTTTCAGCGTCCAGCTGGGGTGGATTCTATATGTTAAATGTTAAATTTATTTAGTATTTATATTACCTTTTTCCTCTTTTTTTGTACACTATTTTTTCTTTTTTGTTGTTAGTGATGGACGTATGATTTTGTTTTTCTGTTTTGTATTTTACCTTTTATGATAAAACAAAATAAATATACTTAAAAAAACCTAATCAATACATTTTAACCCAGGACATTGCATGAACACAGTTTTCTCTATGAAATCCTGGAATTGTTTTTCATAATTAATGGAATTAAGTTAAACCATAGGTAAAAGTGTCATAAAAACATTGCTAATGCCAATTCCTTTAGCCATTTTTTTCTCGCTTTTGATCCTGAAATTGATCCAGAACAACTGTATATTGAACAAGAATAGCCTTCCCAACCTAGTTTTTTCTGAACAACAGTCTTATGAAACTCAGAGGTAATGGGAGTATATTGCTAGAGGATAATTAAGGCAAAGTGTTCTGGATAAATTTTGTAAGCGAACTGCCCACAATCCAATTGTGTTTCCCCCAAAATAAGATCTGGTCTTATATATATTTTCCAAAGCGCCTGAAGGCAGGACAAGAAGCAACAAATGGAAACTAATCAAGCAAAGAAGCAACCTAGAACTAAGGAGAAACTTCCTGACAGTTAGAACAATTAACCAGTGGAACAACCTGCCTCCAGAAGCGGTGAATGCTCCAACGCTGAAAGCTTTTAAGAAGAGACTGGACAGCCATTTGTCCGAAATGGTATAGGGTTACTTGCCTGAGCAGGGGGTTGGACTTGATGACCTCCAAGGTCCCTTCCAACTTTATTATTATTATAATAATATTTTTTGCTTCCAAAAGAGACACCAGGTCTTATTTTGGGAGGAGGACCGCCGCTGCCAGGCCTCCCACGCCCCAACACCTGTCGTGCCACTGCTTGACTTCTTCAGCAGCTACTTGCCGCTCTTGAGGCCAGATACCAGTTGGCACATATTGCCGGTGCCGGTACTGCCGCTTATGGCAGGAGATGGCCTAGTGCTTGGGTCGGTGCCGCCTACAGCAGGATGCTGCATTGCATTTCGGACTGGTGCCACCACTTGACAGGATGCCATGTGGTGCTATGGGCTGGTGCTGCCGCTTGCAGCAGGAGGCCACACAGCTCTTCAGGCTGGTGCCGCTGCTCACGGCAGGCGGCTTCATGGTGCTTTGGTGTGGTGCCCCCACTTGCGTTAGGAGGTTGTGTGATGTGTGCTATGGTGTGCGCAAACAGTGGCACTGGCACAAAGCGCCATGTGGCACTGTCCTGAAGTGCCATGCAGTGTCCTGCTACAAGTGGCGGCACCAGCATGAAGCATCATGCAGTGTCCTACCGGTAAGGTGACTGGGTGTGGGGCGCGTGGGGCAGCTCCACCCCTCACTCCCTCCTTAGCTTGATTTTAGGCATGCGCCTCACCCCAAAACTAGGGCTTATTTTCAGGGTAGATCTTATTTTCAGGGAAACACGGTATACGCCTTAATTTGGGAGAAAAATCCCATGAGCTCAGTGTTTATTTATGAGTAAACAGATAAAAATAAGTACTCTCATTTTCAAAAGGGAAAAATAATGATAATTTTGGTGGTTTGGGAGAAATCATGTAAATTGCATCATACTTCTATTAGATATAATTACTATATAAAAATCCAGTAAACAGGTAAAAGGCAACAAAGTTTTAGGGTTTTTTTTTCTCTTTGTTGTCATCTAATGGCTATTATTTGCAGCCTAGAACTACAGCTCTAAAGATCTACTTTAGAAGTCTCTCTAGATTGAAAAAAAATTGGGGAGAAAAAAATCCCCAGAAATTAAGGAGAGAGAGAGAGAGAGAAATGGAAAGGTCTGGAGGACAAATCTTGACTAAAGTGGTAACGGGACCATTGTTTTTTTTGCCATCTCTAGTTCTAAGCCAGCTTTTCCAAATCCAACATTGTTCAGCTATGTAAGACTACCTCTCTTTTTATTTAATCAACTCTGTAATGGTTGGATGAGTATAATGCAATGCAGGTAGTTTTCGTCTTACGTCCACAATTAGGACTAGAATGTCCATTGCTAGGCAACACAATTGTTAAGTGAGTTAGCTACAATTGTACAACCTTGTTTTGCCATGGTTGTTAAGTGAATCACTGCAGTTAAGGGAAGCACATGGTTAAGCTAGTCCAGCTTTCCCCATTGACTTTGGTGTTGGAAATCAGCTGGGAAGGTTGCAAATGGTGACCACATGATTCCAGGATGCTGTAACTCTCATAAATATATGTCAGATGCTGGGTATCACTAAGGATAGATACAATAAAAGAAATTAAAAGACGCTTGCTCCTGGGGAGGAAAGCTATGGCAAATCTAGACAGCATACTAAAAAACAGAGACATCACCCTGCCAACAAAAGTGCATATAGTCCAGGCCATGGTTTTCCCAGTTGCAATGTATGGCTGTGAAAGTTGGACCATAAGAAAGGCTGAGCGCCAAAGAATTGAGGCCTTTGAACTATGGTGCTGGAGAAGACTCCTGCGAGTCCCTTGGACTGCAAGGCGTTCAAACCGGTCAGTCCTAGAAGAGATCAACCCCGACTGCTCTTTAGAAGGCCAGATCCTGAAGTTGAAACTCAAATACTTTGGCCACCTAATGAGAAGGAAGGACTCACTGGAGAAGGCCTAATGCTGGGAAAGATTGAGGGCAATAGAAGAAGGGGACGACAGAGAATGAGATGGC